TTTTATGAACCGTTTTATGATGCCTCTCTAAGTTACCACGCTTAGGTATTGCAACTGACGCACGACAAATAACACAAATGCACTTATCCTTCACCATAGAAAAGAAAAATTCTTCCTCCCAATCCTTATTAAAATGATACGTTTTAGATTTCTTCACTGCACTCATTTTCCACTATTTAATAATAAACTTTGTATCGACGTAGGAACGCTATCAAGTTACAATTCAGAATAACTCCAATTCCTGCAGGTGCAACATTTATATCGGCGTGAACGAAAGTCTCGAATGTTACCGTCAAACGCGCTGCCCGAAACTAGACTGTACTGTCTCTCTAGAGTGCCGTGCGTTCCTTTGATAAAGCCACCTTTTGCCGCAAGCAGTGTTATTTTATTACGTAATACATTTTTGTAGTTGATAGAATATCATCCCAAATTTGATTAATAATTATAATAAATATTGAATTAATAAAATAATTAGTTAATATATATAAATATAAAATATGCTGTATGGACAGTATTTTGTTGTCCCCACTTCTTTGAATTGCAATGATGCTTAGTCAAGCATTCTATGTAATTTGTATAGTTCAGTATTAATAAAAACGTTTAACTCCTCTGACAGTAGTTTAGTTACCTACCTACTTATTAAAATTTTTTTTCTTCTCGAGATCTACCCAAAAAGCACCAAGCGATCGACCAGTCGATCGCGATCGACCGTTTGAGCACCCCTGGACTAGAATATGTCTAGAATAGAAAAAAAAAATTATTCGTAAGTTTGGATAATTTATAATAAATTCAAAAATTTCTTAATTTTATAGTAAAAGTGAATGATGGTTATTTTAAATGGATTATGCGAAATAGGGGCTCATGTAATTTAGGCAACACCTCATCCCACAACAAGGAAGGTCGTACTAGTACCTAGCCAACACATTAACGGCTTTGAATAAAAACAGAGATAACCTTTGTAAATCTGGCAACAGCTTAAGGCAGGATAAGACACAAGATATTTTGCCCACTTTTTTAAAGAAATATTGTATTTCTGCGCTTTTATCCCTAAACAGCCAATTGATTATTTAGTTCTGCAATTATGGTGTAAAATAGTCATAAAAAATATAATAACTTACTCATAAGAAATAGCCGCGTGACAGTGGTTTATTATTCTCTCTCCCAATACCAAATAAAGTTTATATAATTAATTATTAATTTTTTTATATATTAATATCTAAATTTGTTTCAGTGTTATTTCTGCGTATAAAAATATGACCAATCCGGAGGTAATCTTTGTCAATGGAAATAATTCATTTGAAACAGAATGTGAAGAACTTTATGCCGTTGTTAAACCGTTTTTAACAGATTAGTTTTTAGTTTTTAATAAAGTTGAAACAAAGTTTATTATAGTTATCTGTTACTTTTAGAATAATATATTATGCTTTTATATGAATAGTTTAAATAAAAAATAGAAAATATTGTGTTTTTATGTTAATTAAAAATCAAAGCAAAGCAAAGTAAGAAGTTGAAAACTTCTACTTGTAGTTTATTTCTTCGTAAAGAATGAATAATAAAAATGGTCTGGAGGCATGTGCAGAGGAAACTACTCTTTTAAAACTTTTAAGACGGGAAAATAATTGCTATACTAAAATCCGCATTAAAGCCGAAAACTACAACCTTATAAAATTTTTCAGCTTTCATAAACTGCCGCAACCCCCTCTTTTAAATGAACACCACTTCCACCGAACTGCTGAAATATGAAATAACCAAGGACCAATGTATGGATCCAGAAATTGAAATGGAATACAAATCGTTAATAAAGAACTCAGCGATGGTATGAACAGAATAAAAATAAGAAAACTGTAGGTATAGGTGATATATGCACTGAACAAGTAAAGTACATAGGGAAAGGAGAGAAAATCTTGATCTTGAAACTCTCCAGCACGTGTAGCATCTGCGGAATTCAAAGATCCTTGACGCTTTTTACCGACGGGCAGAGCGGACGGTATATTCTTTATCAAAGGTCTATAAATTTTAGGTAGGTCTTCTGAAAGACATTCAACATCAAACCAAGCACCACATCGATACAACACAAGGTCCACCTGTTTTCTCTAAGCCTTTACGATTAGCACCTGAGAAATTATAATGGACTAAAAAAGAATTCGAAAATCTTCTGCGACTAGGCATCATAAGAGCATTAAAAAGTAACTGGTCTACACCAATACATATGGTCCCGATGAAAGGTGAGGAACAGAGACAGTGCGGAGATTAGAGATCATTTTCTCTACCATATATTTAGTTAGAGCATACAACCAGATACCAGTAGCCACCGAAGATATACCAAAAACTTCCGTTACCACACAATTTGAACTGTACTAATATTTATATACGCCTTTTGGTTTAAGACACGCAGGACAGACCTTCCAGCGTTTCATAGATGAAAGTTTACTTGGTCTTGATGTCGCTTACGCCTACATCGATGACATTCTCATTGCATCAGAATCCGAAGAGCAGCATATATCGCATTTAAAAGAAATTTTCAAAATGTTTAAGCAATTTGGCGTTGTGATTAATCCAGCAAAGTGTCAGTTGGCAAAAACGAGACTACATTTTTGGGATATATATATATATATATATATATATATATATATATATATATATATATATATATATATATATATATATATAGTCTCAGCAGCAGGACTCAAACTACCCCAAGAAAAAGTAGCAGCTGTACAAAATTTCACTTATTCTAAAACAGTAAAAGACCTGCGTAGATTTCTAGGTATGTTGAACTTCTACCGAAGGTTCATACACAATGTAGCTGAGCTTCAAGCACCACTACATGATGATCTCAAAGGAAAAGCACCAATTGATTGGACACCACAGCGGATCCAAGCCTTCGAGGACTGCAAAAGTAAAGATAAAGGTATGAAAAATTTAGCTTTCTTTTCCAAAAAATTCTCACCTAGTGAAAAGAAATATAGTGCGTACGACAGAGAATTATTGACTATATATTTAGCTATAAAAAATTTTAGGCATATGATCGAAGGCAAAGACATAACCATATACACTGATCACAAACCAATCACCTTCGCCTCTACATAGAAGCTAGACAAATGCAGTTCTAGACAATATCGATATTTAGATTTTATAGGACAGTTTTGCAGCAGGTCTCTGGATTAACAAAATTGTAGCAGACGCATTATCTCGAGTGATTGCATCAAACGTACTTAAGAGAGAAAACATCGTTGCAATTAAAGAAAATACGGTTTCCGGAACAAAACGTCAGTGTGTACTGTGAAGTAGCAACATTTACAGCCACACATAGACGTGATTATAGTGATGCCCATTTCTGAAGGAAACATACTGTTTAACATGTGTCGACCGTTTCACGCGTTGGCCGGAAGCTTTCTCAATGACAATCAAGAAACAGATCGTTTTGGCACTCCCAAGCGTATCACAACGGATCAAGGTTGACAATTCGAATCACATCTCTTTAAATCAATCTGCAAATTAACTGGAACTATCCACTTAAGAACAATCACCCTCAAGCAAATGGCATGGTGGAAAGATTTCATCGACAATTAAAAGCAGCAATTCGATGCCATGAAAATATTGGATAGGTCGAAAGCCTACCTTCAATATTACTGGGCATACGAGCAGCGTTAAGAGAAGATTTAGGTACTTCAGCCGCCGAACTCGTTTATGGACATAGTATGTTTGCCCGGTTAATTATTGTTTTCACCGCAAAAAAACACCGACGACAGTGCTCACATTTATTCAAAGACACTTCGAAACAATTTCGAAAATCTCCGTCCTAAGCAACCGTCGCAACATGGGTCCAAAAGCACTTTTATTTTCAAAGAGATGAAAACCACCACTCACGTGTTTGTCCGCTGTGACACAATCAAAAACGGTTTAGATAACCCATATCACGGACCTTTTCTAGTAGTTAAACGAGGAGACAAACCATTTGTCGTCCGTGTAAACGGAAAAGAAGTAACAATTTCCATCGATAGATTGAAACCTGCGTATGAGGTCAATGTAAATCAAGAACCAGATAAAATAACAGTGTCCAGAGAAACAAACACCTATAAAAATACGAAAACTAAGATGGGCAGGACACCTGACAAGATTACAGCAAAACAACCCTCCTAGAAGAATCCTTATGCCACAACCTATGGGAAGTAGAAGTAGAGTAGGCCAAAACTCAGATGGAGGGATGATGTAGATGAGGATGGTAGAAAAATAGGCGCAGTAAACAGGCAATAGTTAGCAATGGATAGAACTGACTGGCGTAATAGACTTGGGAAGGTCGAGGCTCTTTTAACGACGTTTCGGAAGGTCATACTTGCCATTGTCAAGTCAGGTAGTAACGCTTCCTGCTGATTTGTAGCAGACTGATTCTCATGGTCGATGCTGTTACTTATATATAGCTGATCGAGGCGCACTTCTCTTAAACGGTCCTTGACAAGGCTTCTTGTGATTGGTCCTGCCGGTGTGTAGGTAGGAGGAGTCCTACTCGTCGTTCTTGTGGTCTGATGTATTTTTGACTTTTTCTTTAATACAATTTTCTATATTGTTGGAAGCATTTGAACATCATCTCTTTGGTTTAGACTGTTGGGATTTTTTTCTATTTCTATAGATTCTCTGATTTCTCGTTTTCTTTGATTTTCAATGTTTTATTCTACAGTTTGTTGATGTTTCTGAAAATTTTGAAAAATGGATAAGTATAACGAGTTTTGCAACTAGGCGATTCAATTGCAAATAATTTATTCCAAGTGATTACTGTTATCGAAGAATTTTAAACAAAACATCTCCGCCTATGGAGTATCACTTGATTAAAAACCCATTATTAACAGTTTTTGTTAAACTAATGAAGATATTTATGGTTTTATTAACGATAGATTGATAAATCGTCACCCGTGACATAAATTCCAACAAGCTGATTTTACCACAAAATAATTTACTATGTCTTAACATGCATAGCTTTATCAAACACAAACTAACAATAATTTTGATAATGTATGATTTCAAAACTAAATCTTTATCCAAGATTTTATTCGATGTTTGTTTATTCATTTTCTTATTTAACCTTTAGTTGTGTTCAAATGATAATAAAGCTGAAACACTCAAAAATGAGTGTATGTGTGATATTTGTTGCGTTAAGTTTAACAGTGCTACAGACTAAAGGTTTTGTAACAGGTAGAGGATGTCCTGCGCCTAAAGTTGAAGCACAAAACAATGGTAAGTATTTGTTTCTTTTTTTATATACAATGTGATTCATTTAGATTGGAAACACCTCAATAAAATTTGTTGTAAAAGTTGTTAACAGATTTTAACCAATTTTTCTTGAAATACAAATAACATGTAATAAAAGATCTACATTGAAGCATAATTTAATGTTTATTTAAATTTTCAGAACATAATAACATACTTTTTCTGAGTAGAAAATGAAGAATTTTTATTAAAAACTGGTTTATTAACAAATTACACTTAATCCAGTGGTACTACAGCCTACCACTGGATTTAGAGCTATGACAAAAATTTCACTAAAATATATTTATCAATAATGAAGGTATGGCAACTTAAACTTTTCAAACCCACTAAGATACGAGTCAAAAAAAAAACATCCGGTATCAATTGACAGTTATAGTGTATTTTTATGTATGAGAGAGTAATAAAACAATAAATTATGTATGCAAATCCCTAAACTGTTGATACGGGTGACTCAATGAAAAACAGATATTTGTCAACAAGTTTACAGAAGTATATAGGAAAACAATTTTAAATTGAGTATGACCACCAGGTATAAAGGTTGGAGCAGAATAGAATACAATAGTTGTGAGGGTTACTAATCCATAAATAAGGTTGCCAGTGTCGGAGTGATGGAGGTTAACAGGTACTAATGAATTTGCAAGAAATGTAAGATGTTTATTTTATTGGTTATATATAACCAATAAATGTTTAATAAGTACCTACCTATTTGCAAAATAAAGTTTAATTCTTTAGATAAAATAAAACGTTTTATTTTATCTGAAATGAGTGCATTCCACGAAGTAAGGGTTTCAACAATCAAACATTTAATTCTTTAATTCCAGGAATCTATGACAGTAATTGACTAGATAATTACCTTCTAAACTTATTCCACAGAAAATGTGATAGTGGGTTTTTCCATTTTGTAGGAAGGTCCAAGTGGCGTATTCAAAATTCTTAACAGTTCATTAAAAGTAGGTACTTCAGTTGCAAGGTGCAGTTTATTGTGTATACTAGTGTTATGGAAAATTTGGAAGTGCCGTGTAAACGCCGAAAAATTGGTCCTTTAACAGTTAATGAAAAAACATTAATATTTAATTGTTTTAAATCATTTACAGACAAACGTTTATGTGAAAGTGTTGATGAGACCGTTGAGTTAGTTAGCAGTACACTTGGTGTTGGGAAATCTAGGATTTACAGAGTTATTAAAGAAGAGAAATGTGGTAGTTTTCAAATGCCACGTAATGCTCCAGGGAAACCAAAATTTCAAATAGAATATCATTTTAAAGAAGGACTTCGACGGAAAGTGCATGAATTCTTCTTTAGACAAGAATTTCCAACATTGGATAAAGTTCTTGTCTCAGTTCGAGATGATAAGGATTACCCAGAAATGAGTCGAAGTACGTTATGGAAACTTTTAAAAGAAATAGGCTTCCACTGGAAAAAGAATCCCAGAAAGTCTATTTTATTAGAAAGAAGCGATATTGTCATATGGAGAAGACATTTTCTAAAAACCATAAAGGAAATGAGAAACCAAAAAAGAAAAATATTTTATCTTGATGAAACATGGATCAACGAGGGTCATACACCAAATAAATTTTGGCAGGATGAAACTGTTACAAGTCAAAGGCACGCTTTTGTAAATAACTTATCTACTGGTTTAAACCCACCATCAGGAAAGGGACGCAGGCTGATAATAGTACACATTGGCAGTTCAGACGGTTTTGTTGAAGGTGGTTTATTAACTTTTGAATCAACTCGTACCGGTGACTACCATGAAGACATGAACGCTGATGTCTTTCAAGAATGGTTCGAACAAATGATAGATCTTCTTCCTAAGAACTGTGTAATAGTAATGGATAATGCAAGTTATCACTCCAGACTTATAGAAGGACTGCCCACAACCAAGTGGTTAAAAAAAGACTTGCAGAATTGGCTGAGTTCAAAAAATATTACGTACCATCCCGGATCTATAAGAAAGGAACTTTATTCGTTGTGTGCCCTTCATAAAGAAAAATTTAAAAAATACGAAATTGATGAAATTGCCAAAAATCGTGGAATGACAGTACTTAGATCCCACCATATCATTGTGAATTAAACCCGATTGAACTGGTATGGGCACAGATAAAGAGTGAAGTTTCAAGAAAAAATACCACTTTTAAAATTCATGATGTTAAACAGTTGTTTTTGGAGGCCGTAAATAATGTAAAACCTGAAAACTGGGAAAAGGCAGTAAATCACACTATTAAAGAAGAGGAAAAAATGTGGAAGCTGGACAATATTACTGACAAAATGATCGAGCCAGTTATTATAAATCTTGGTTTTGAAAGTTCATCTTCTGAATCTGATTTGGATTTGTAACAAGTAGCTGTAAGTTTTATATTAATATTTTTATTCGTCTATTTAACATACCTTAGACGGTTTTAAAAACTCTTTTTCTCTTTTGTAATTTTTAAAAATTAAAAAAAATGTGAATTTTTTAAAACCCTTTTTAATGTAGGCCAGTCAGTTCTAATAATATAGTGTGTGATAAAAGAGGTCACTTTTGTTTACATACACATAACACTTTATAACACTGAAATAATTCATTTATTTTTTACAATTATTCAAAGTAATTTTTCAATTAATCTTGAGCACGCCCATGGAGTGGTCGGAGGTACCAGTTAAAATTATGCTAATTACTCTCTCGTTCATAAAAATAAACTATAGAGAAACATAATTTTAGTTTAAATCCTAGTTGTCTTTACTAATCTACCATGTGGTTGGATATATTTGTGGCAGCGCTTACGAATATCTTTAAAACATTTTTGTTTGTTTTTGGGGAGTAATTTCTGCATACGTATACGTATCTTAGTAGCGTTTGGTATACTTTTTTATTTGACAAGTACCCAGAGAAACAAGTCTAAAATTGGGATATCTGGATATCTGGGTAGTTAATCTAACAGCGAACTACCACGGCCTATCCAACGGTTTGGAAAATTATCATTTAGCCATTGCTTCACAGTTCTTGTGTAATAAACAATATTTAAATTGATATACAAATTTAGTTCTTTATTAAAAAAGCTCATGAATAGCATTCCAAAACTCGGTGTTTAGAAATACTAAAAAGTTCTTTGAATGTTTATGTTTTCCTTGAAAAAGAACGGACTAATAATTCGCTCGTTAAATTTAATCACCAGACATTGTCTTTTTTAGAATACTGGTTATCGGCTGTCCAATAACGACAATTTTATAATGTTTTTAGAGTTATATATACAGATTGAACCAAATTAAAACGGAACATACAATTTCATACATGTCTGTTTGAACTGCATTTGAAATAGTGGACCAATATAAAACTTGGACAAAAATAAATCCATACCTGGGTATAGACATTGTATAAAATATCGCTTAACTATCTGTCTCGCAACAATGTTGTTTGCGTAAGACGGGTTTGTCTAAGGAAGCGATAATAGTTCAGGAAATGAAGCTCGAAAAAAGTTAAAACCTCGCAATTTTTCGTCCTGCATGTATCCAGTTGAAATTTTAACAGAAGGTAGGTGATAGCCCAAGGATCAAAACCTATATCGAACCGAAGTGCGCTGAAGGGTTTTAGGGGTGAAAACTACCCCTAATTGTCAAAAATTATAAAATAACATATTAAACCTGAATATGGGTAAGATTTGGTTTGAATTGGTTAAATAATGATTATTTTATACTTTTGAATAGAGTTCCATCATATTTCAACCCTTAAAAAGCAACCCTTGTTAGAGATTAATGTAAAAAAATTACTAATTCTAAAAAAATGATTTCGCCTTGGATCGATTTGGATAAAAATTTGGATTTAAGCTCAATTTACCCGCTGCTTTATAGTTTATGTCATGTCGACGAACCCTGAATTTTAGGGGTAAAAACTACCCCTAATTGTCAAAAATTATAAAATAACATATTAAACCTGAATATGGGTAAAATTTGGTTGGAATTAATTAAATAATGATAGTTTCGTGCTTTTGAATAAAGTTCCATCATATTTCAACCCTTAAAAAGCGACCCTTATTAGAGATTAATATAAAAAAATTAGTAATGCGAAGAAAATGATTTCGCCTTGGAACGATTTGCATAAAAATTTGGAATTAAGCTCAACTCACCATCTGCTTTATAGTTTATGTCATGCCGATGAACCCTGATTGTTCTAAGGGGTGAAAACTATCCCTAATTTTTAAAAATTCTAAAATAATATTACAAATCTTAAGATGTGTGAAATTTGGTTTGGATTAGTTAAATATTGATTTTTTTATACTTTAAAATACAAATTCATACATTTTCAACCCTTAAAAATCAATTGTTATGAGTGCTATAGGTGAAAACAATTTTTTGCCAAAATTTTGCAACTTTTCAACTTTTGAAAATCACCCTTTACAACATTGCAGTTTTTATAAACTAATTTATAAGATATAAATTGAAAAAAGTAGAATTAAATACAAAAAATTTATCAACATAAAAAGGCACCATATATTCTTATACATTTACATAAATAGTTGAAAATATTTACATTTATAGGTAAAACAATTATAATATTAATTTTATTCGTCATCAATTACATCTTCATCGTGATCTATGTCATCCTCATCTTCTTCAATTATTGGTGGACTGTTATTGCACCCTTCACCTGAGCACTCAGAACAAGCAGAGTTACAGTATAAACTAACTTTTCTGCGCCCACATGAAACGCCGCATCCTTTTTTGCATTGGCAAAAAATAATTTTCAAAAGTTCATCGGGTGCAGGTTGTTTGTTCATGCGTACGGGTAATAACAAACCATCTTTGGAATACCATCCCCAATCTGTTGATCTGATATTTTCATTGCCAAGCCGTAGACATATGAGCAGATGTTTTATTCTGTTGTATGGGATTTCAAAATAAGAACGCTTAAAATTTCGAATGTATAACGCCCCACTAGCTAATATACTGGTTTTGTAGATTATTATGCTCTAAAATGTACTGTACTATACTAATGGAATTTTCCGGAAAAAAATTAACTGGTTTTTTAACGTATTTCCTTTAATTTTTAACGATAGAGTGTTTCTTCAAAAACGATTTGTAGATGTTTTAGGGTTGAGGGGTTTTAGGGGTAGAGTGGTTAGGGGGTTGTTTTCATCGATTTTTTCGTAAAAAATGAGGTATTGACTTTATTTTCATCATAACTCACTCAATTTTTGAGCTAGAGTCTTTTTTTTATGATAGGTCTATTTATGCTATTTAAAAAAGGTTTTGTGAGTTTTCTTCCAAAAATGCATCATTTTCCCGATACTTGACTTTGAATCTTTCAAATTTGGCATTTGAAGAAAACCGTTAAACATTGATAGGCCGTATTTCGGTTCCTATTATATCGCAAAAACATTTTAAAAAATGAATTGTATTTGTCTTTTTAAAAGCTACAAATTTGTTCTCTACAATTTTTTTGATAAAATGCACCATTTTCGAGTTATTCGCGAATAATCGATTAAAAACGTCGATTTTTCGTCTAAAAGTTGTTACTTTCAATCGCGAATATCTTGAAAAATATCATTTTATAAAAAAAATGTATAGCACATTTTTTGTTTAGAACCACTTTTTTAATCGAAACCTGTAGTTAAAACGTAAAAAAAATTTTCACCCCGGAGATGGGGTGGCAACCACCTCCTAGGCTTTGGCGCACTTTGGTTCGATATAGATTTTGATGCTTAGGCTATTACCTACCTTCTGTTAAATTTCAAGTCAATCCACGCAGCACGAAAAAATTGCGAGGTGAAATGCTTCATTTCCTGGACTATAACTGGTTTGACAGTATAATAAAATCGTTAGATTTATGTGTAGCTTTCAATTTTTATGAGTTTAGAATCCAGCAGCCCGCTGAAGTATGGGATTTTTATAATATAATTATTTGACAATCTTTTGTTGGCCAACCACCTATAGCAGAATTGAGCCGAAATACATTATATTTCTATGTTCCGAATTTATTTCGTTCAATCTGTATATATATATATATATATATATATATATATATATATATATATATATATATATATATATACATTTCCAATAAATAACCAAAAAAGACATCTCTAGAGTTCTTAGAAACTCAAAGCCTCCTACTTAGAACATTAGCCAATCCGAGAAAAAAGTCCTGATAGAACTTCAGACAAATCCAAATCTAGTCACTCTTCCCGCCGATAAAGGTAATGCCCCGTCATCCTAAACACTTCTTCTTACATTAATAAACTCTCAAATCTCGTTAATACTCCAGATTACAAACTAATTCCTAATAATCCACCAACCTATCTGGAGAAAACAACAAAAGCCATTATCAATAAAACTTCTCTTCCTATCGACATAAAACAATCTCTAAGTCCTCGAGAAAAATCTTCCAGAACACCTCGAATATATGGTTTTCCCAAAATTCACAAACCCGATATTCCTTTACGTCCCATTGTCAGTGCATACAACTGCTCTACACAATCATTGGCCAAGTATTTGGCGAAAACCCTACAACCTCTCGCCGACAATGCTTCATCCTTCATTAAAAACTCTTTTCATTTCATCGAACTTCTTAAACAAAACCCTATATCACCGTCAGATATTCTAGTAAATTTTGATATTGTCTTACTCTTTAGAAACATTCCTATAGATAAAACTCTAAACATTTTGAAAACTAAATACAGTATCCATCAAGATCATTTATCTCTCATTAAACATTGTATGTCCAACACATATTTCATCTTATAAAATCAATTCTACAAACAAATAAATGGTGCCCCAATGGGCTCCCCTCTATCTCCAGTAATTGCCAATATCTTAATGGAAGACTTCGAGACGAGAGCACTATCCACATCAATGCTCAAGCCCACATCTTGGCTACGATATGTTGACGATACATTTGTCATTTAACTTCATGGCAGGGATGCTTTGGTGTCTTTCCAAACCCATCTGAATGGTATACATCCTAGTATCCAGTTCACGATGGAGATGGAAACTGATTCATCCCTACCGTTTCTCTACGTTATTATAAAGAAAAATCAATCCCAAGGTTTTCATTACTCTGTTTATCGAAAACCCACACATACCAATTGTTACTTGCACGCCAACTCTCATCATCCATCTTCACAAATTAATTCAGTCATTAATACCCTTGTCTCCAGATCAATACGCTTTTCCGATGATGTAAGTAGACCCGCTGAGCTGTCTTGTTTAAAACAAGCCCTCATCCAAAACGGTTACCGCAAAAATCAATAGGAGCATCCACAGACATCAATCTGCCACTCAATCTCAATCCAAAAACTCAGACCCTTATCATACGAAAGATTTTCATCCTTTAATCTAAGGTGTCACTGAAAAATTCGACAAAATTCTTAAATCAAGAGGAATAAAAACAATATTTATGACCCAACAAAATCGTTCATCCCTTGTCCAATCAATCAAAGACAACATTCCAAATGAACAACACGGAGTTTATAAAATTCCTTATCCTATATATGCCAAACAAATGGTAGAATCCAAAATAGGATTTATGAACATTTCATTTCTGTTCGCAAGTCCGATTAAATTTTAGCTCTACATCAACACCATCTTCATACAGGTCACAAAATTGATTTTAAAAACTCTAGAACCATAGCCCACATGCGCTTCTATAAACCAAGAATTATCCGAGAAGTCATACAAATTGAAAAAAGGCCAAATTATTTCATTAAAAGAGATTTCGGAATAGATTACCTTTGACATGGAGACCTTTCATCAAGAAAATATCTTTCGCTGCACCTGCCAATCAAAATCTTACTGTTAGAAATGTTCTTTTGCTCGTTGAAATTCCTGTTGTTTGTTGAAATTGTCTTCTGTTCCCAGTGGCATTATTGCATTGGTTAGTGATCAGTGTAATAGTGTCTAGGGGCTCGGAAGACTGTGATTAGTATTAATCTTAGCTCTAGGTTTAAATGTCTAACCACGGAAATCGTTAGTACTTTGGGCTAACGATAGTTAAATGGAACAATTTTTTTAGAATTTTTCCTTTTTTAAGTTAAGTTAACTTATATTTTAAATTTTAGATTCCATTAAAACACCTTTTCCTCTAATCTATCCAGATGTAGATTCCATGTTAACTATATTGCGTCTACCTCAGGTAAGTAGTTATTTTATGAATTTACTTTTTTTGTCGTAAATATTTTTGCTTCTTTATTTTTATTTCTTTTTCTGTTGTCTCTTAAACAAAAAGATACAGGCATAAGGATCGAGATGATAATACTTCGGTTATAAAGAAGTAACCTTAATAGTTTTTTATCTGAGTATTAAGAATTAGTCCACTAGAACAGAAACCATAATCCAGCAATTATTGCATGTCATCCAGAAAGTTTTGTCACAAATGTTTTGTCGGCAGCTAAACGCATCACAAAGTGTCGTAAACCTAGCATGAAATTGGTTTATTATAAAGGAAATTACAGCCTATATGAATAGAACACAAACAAGCTGAAATGCATGCTGGAAATGTATTCGGACACAACTTTCCAATTCTCATAAATGACATGTAATTATGTTACGTAGAAGTAGTTCATCATAAATGACATGTAATAATGTAAGGTATGCGTGAAGTGTTACTGACCTCGAAAATATTCCTTAATAGTACCATTATCAATGAAACAAAGGACAGGAAGTGATTGATTCGCTGGGGTTTTCAACTTTCATTGCACAATGATACATGGATAGGTTATAACCACAGTTACCCACCATGCGTTTAATAGAAAAGTCCAACAATTTGGAAAATAACTTTTTTGTTGTAATACTGAATCCTTGTTGTTCATCTGATAAAGTTGTTATTTTATTGATTTTGTTGTTTAGGACTTTTGTGGTAAGCTTAATTATGGTGTTCAGTAAATTTATATATATATATATATATATATATATATATATATATATATATATATATATATATATATATCCGTTTTTTTTAGGCGTTACGCCCGTCCGGTAGGGATCTATATAGCTACATAGATCTATATAGATCTATCTATATAGATCTATGTAGCATATCCTAGTCTAAGCCGCAGATTCATCTAGAATTTTAAACTGCTGCGTTAGACTTTTTGTTTTCTGTACACCGAGCTGGGGCTCGATCCCACATCCACTGAACCATTCGACAGTGAAGCGAAAGAGAGGCAGCCGCACAGCCCGCTGAGCTATCTGACCGACTTCAGTAAATTTATACCTCTATAATTGTTGAAGTCTTCTTTATCTCCTTTCTTGAACATTAGTATTATTATGCTGTTTCTTTATTCGTCTGGTATCTTGCAGTGCAACATTGGTTTTTGTATAAGTTTTGTCATCTCTAGGGTTATATTTTATCCTCCGTGTTTAAGAAGCTCGTTGGTTATTTCGTCTGGTCCTGGTGACTTTCTATTTTTAAGTGAATTTATGGCTATCCCTACTTCCTGAAAACTGATTTTTTTTTGTGTCTTAATTCAGGTACGTTATTGTGTTGATTATTATTTTCCTTTCCTTTAAACAATTCCATATTTGTTTTTTTTGGGTACTGTAGAAGTCGCTTTCCACCTTTTTTGTAAACTGTTCCCAGTTTTCATTTTTTGTTCTTCTTACCAACTGCTTTGTTTCATTTCGTATTCTTCTATAGGTGTCTCGGGATTCTGGAGTATGAGTACCCAATCTAATCTAATCAAAGATCCCATTCCTTGAAGTTCTTCAAATAGAATAAAACAAGGATATCTCTTCAACAAACAATCACTTTCACATTCAAGAATAAATTTACCAGAGTGAAGTAGCCGCCCTGCTTGCCATATATGAAACAATAATAAACATTACAAATATGGTAACAGTCCTACAGACTTGATACTAAACTTGCGTGGAATTGCAAGGTTTGTAATAAAAGGGTTTTTGTTAAATTTTGTTTTATTTCTTATCTTTCATGAAATCTACACTTTCTAATAAAAAATTTAAAATAACCCAATAATTTTAACAGGATTTTCTTCTGAAACTTTTGCGGCCTATAATGTAAAAACCCGGTAATTTTTACTACAATATATTGTTGAAGAGTGTATTTCACAGATAATTACTAGATACATCTACGTCAGTATATTTCACTTATTGTGTTAATCATCTTTTTAAAAAATATATTAATATTTTATTATGTTTCTAGTTTAGTGAACATGAAGGTGTACAAGGACTCTTAAGGTTATATGAAAAAGCAAAGGAAAAGAAGGCGGAGTTTCAAGAAAGAAATTATAAAAAGAACCATCCTTTAATAATTCTCGAAGGATTAGCAGGCTCAGGTAATATTTCTTATTACTTTAGACTATAGTAAAGTTTGTCTAGCAGGTAATAATTGTTTTAGGTAAAATTTGTCAATCTTCATTTCTCAGTTCTAATTTAACAATTTTCTGCTAAACAAACTTTGCCTCTATGAATGCTTGTTTTAGCATTAATATAAACAACTTAATTAATTTTAATTTCCCGGTATTTTTTCTTCATCTTCCTATCTAGAAGTAATTTTTCTTGTTAATTAACGAGTTGATACCTCTATGGATGGTTGTCACTGAATTTTTACGATGTTCACTGATACTTCACCGTTAAAAGATTTATCTTTGTTTAATTTGACCATTCTTGCCTCATCCATTCTAATATGTTATTATTCCATTTTTTCTGTTTAATATCTACTAGTGTATGCCCTGTATGTCACAGTTACCTCTGATATCTTCACCACTCTTTCAGTTTCTCAGCGTATGTCCTGTAATTCTTTCACCGCTCTTTCCAATAGCTTTTTTGTTGAACCGGTGTTGTAGAGCTCAATGAGTCTTTAAGTTGCTTATGTCTACAGATTTCGTAAATTGTTTATCTATTCCTACCTCCATCTTGCTGTTTTGGTTAATGTTTTCATTAGTTTTTTTAAATCCAAGGGAATTTCTCTTTTATACAAAATATGGATTACATCATTAAGTCTTACTTTGTCGAATGCTTTCTTTAAGTTAATGAGATATAGAAACGCTGGTTTATTATACTTTAATGATTCCTCTAATCAGGTAATTTAGCTTATGATGAATAGTGCATCCTTACTCGACCAAAACCTTGTTTTGTTTTGTTGTTTATCTGCTAACCTTATCCTCTAACTTATTTGTTCTTGCAAAATTATATACAGGGCGAGTCATAACTACTGGGACATAGACTAAGGACAGGTTATTTGGACCAAAATATGGCTATTGGGCCAAATATGCCTTACTAAAATGTTGCTGAGAAAAAAGATACAGGGTGTTAAATTGAAAATTGAAAATTTTATTTTTGGCTATAACTTTCATGTTTGTAAACATTTATGTATAAAAATTTACAGCTGGGTACTATTGAAAATCAGAAATTATAATTTGATGCATACTTTAATATATCTAGTAGAGGGCGCCACATATGCCACATAGGGCGCCACATACGTGGTATACATTTACACTTAACTTTTTTGTTCTTCAAGTTATTGGTATTCTTGATATAAAATATTAAAGATACATTATTTCAACAAAAAAAAAGGTATACCTGTTAATAACTTTAAAACTCAATAGTTTTCGAGATAATCGCATTTTACAAATCAACTGCATATTTCTGATTTAACGCAATTACTCCAGGCAATGAAAGAAAAATAGGGAAAAACATTAATACTTCTGAATTTTGTTATAAAATACCTTTAATAAAGTCAATAGTTAATGAAATATTAAATAAAATAAATATATCAGCAGGATAATTAATAATACGATTTGATAAAATAACAGAATAATTGGATTTTACATCAAACATTTTACGTTTTGTATTAAATTAAAGTCATAATCAACATTTTATTTACAAATCAAATAACTATACTAAATAACATTAAACTTTTTGCCAAAGTAAGTGTTCGATATGTCCAACATTTTCTTTAATTCATTTGTCAATACATTCCATAAAATTTATATTTAAAATATCAAAATATCGTATGGTAAAATATCATTTAAAATTTATAATTAATAAGTATGTCCTCTGGTTTGGAACCATTGATAATTATTTTTTTTCGGATATGCGAATTACCTTGCAATTAAGATGTCGAGATTTATTTACATTTTTTGTAAAATGATTTTATTGATTTATTGGAAGAATTGTTATCAAACTTAAGGCGAAATATGTGGTTTCCACAAGATGGTACACCATTACATTACAGAGAAAGCGGAGTGAGACAGTATTTAAATACACTTTCCTGAACGTCGGATTATTCGTGGTAGTCATATTCTTGTGGTGAGATAATAATAATTATTTAATTGATAAAAATTTCAAAAAATTACTTATTATTATACTTAAAACAACTATAATAAATACTGCAGCAGTTTCTTTAGAACCAATGATGCTATTTAATAATACGAGACGATATTTTATGGAATGTATTGACAAATGAATTAAAGAAAATGGTGGACATATCGAACACTTACTTTGACAAAAAGTTTAATGTTATTTAGTTTAACTATTTTTTAATTTGGTTTGTAAATACAGTGTTTTGATTATGACTTTAATTTAATACAAAACGTAAAATGTTTGATGTAAAATCCAACTATTCTGTTATTTTATCAAATCCTATTAATAATTATCCTGCTGATATATTGATTTTATTTAATATTTCGTTAACTATTGACTTTATTAAAGGTATTTTATAACAAAATTCAGAAGTATTGATGTTTTTATCTATTTTTCTTTCATTGCCTGGAGTAATTGCGTTAAATCAGAATTATGCAGTTGATTTGTAAAATGCGATTATCTCGAATACTGTTGAGTTTTGAAGTTATTAACAAGTATACCTTTTTTTTTTGTTAAAATAATGTGTCTTTAATATTTTTTACCAACAATACCGGTAACTTAAAGAACAAAAAAGTTAAGTGGAAATGTATGCCATGTATGCGGCATATGTGGCGCCCTCTATTAGATATATTAAAGTATACATCAAACTATAATTGCTGATTTTTAATAGTACCCAGCTGTAAATTTTTATACATAAATGTTTACAAACATGAAAGTTCTAGGTAAAAATAAAATTTTAAATTTCCACTTTAACACCCTGTAACTTTTTTCTCAGCAACATTTTATTAACACGTTCGCTGCCGATCTTTAAAATGCAATATATAGTAGGGGCCGACAACGTTTTTTGAATTTTTCGTTTAAATGTTATTTAGAAAAGTTGCTTGAATAGTTGCACTAAAGCTATGTCAACTAATTTTTTTGTCATTAGATATACTTTGTGATATCACGCGCCAGCGCGTGATCGGTGTGGTCCCAGGAATTTCATCTCAATTAGCCGTATCACGCCATAGAGTGAGACAATAAAACGACGTTATTATAATACGAAAACAGAAACTATATTTATATTATATTATATATACTAATTCGAATAAAACGAACAATACATAAAAAATTTATAAAACAAAAATATTACTCAGATCAAAATAAAATAAATAAAAAAACTAAAATAAGTGATCAAACCACAAATGTCCCTGTGGATTAAACATTTGTAACTTATTTATGAATAATGGTACAGCAATCTAGACAATATCCTGGTTCACTGGGGCACGACCTACATGTGTAGATAGTATCCTTTCTTTTTCCATTTTCGTAACATAACTTGCAATGTTTTCTAGGTGTTTTCTTAATACCTGGTGGTGCCACTCTTTGTGACATAATGTGACCAACTTCTGGGGGTCGTCGGTGTGCTTGGTCTTCTTCTGCCCTCTTCTGGGCCGGGGCTAATAAACTTTGTATGACTCGAATACGAAAGTCATAAAGACTTATTTTTTGGGTAGAGTATTTGTTATATAAATGGTGTGAATTGATAAGCATCAATTGCAGCACGTGGATAAACATCTTCGTAGGCCATCTTAATGTCTTTCTCTCTGCCGGGTAATAAGAGAGCATTTGGTCATGTCTGTCAATACCGGACATATACTTATTGTATTGAACGATCGGTAAGGGCTTCGATACAATTTGTTGTCTTTTATTTGGTACATCCACCATTATGTTTCGATATTCATTAGAAATATAGGACACATTCCTCTTATCTCTCCATTTTCCTATGAGTACTCCATCTGCATACCTTCCCATTACTTCACCTTTTTTTAACTTACTGTCTTTTATTTCCTTCGGTACATGCTTTCTGTCCAATCTTAAAGTTCCCGTACAGTGTGTTTTATGATTCAATAGTGTTCTAGCTAATAAAAAACTGTTATAATAATTGTCCATATACACACTATGTCCTACTTCCAAAAAACCGTCCAATAAATGCATTACCACTTTTGATGCATGATCTTTACCACCCAGATCGTCCAGTTTTCCTGCATAAACGGCAAATTTTAAAACCATACCAGTTGGGGTTGTCAGCATGTATAATTTAATGCCATATTTATGCCTCTTATTTTTTATATATTGGCGAAATTGAAGTCTGCCTCACCATAACACCATAGACTCATCTAAACTTAGCTCCCGTCCTGGATAATACAGTGCACATACTTTTTCGTTAAAAAAATTAATTAGGTATCTAATCTTCAATAATTTGTCTTCAGGTAAAATACCATTTTCTCTATTTTCCGTGAAATTCAGGCAACGCATTATCAATAAAAACCGATTTCGGCTCATAACTTTGTGAAATATCCCAATGCTATATAACTCATCTTGTCGCCAATAGTCTTGGACACGGTTTATTCGAATATTGCCCATGTGTAACAGTAAGCCTATGAACAGTAACAAATCTTCAGAAGTTAACTGTTTCCAGTTAGTTATCCTGGATTTAAAGCATGTTCTTTCAGATAAAAATAGATTAATGGCGTAACTGTTACTCAAATCACAAATTTTTGTAATAAAATCGTCTGTCACAAACAATCTAAAATATTCAATCGGTGTCATTCCAGTTACGTCTACTAATAATCTTTCGTGTTCAGTAAATTCAAAAACATCTTTCATTGTGGTTGGATTCAAAGAAAATTGTATAGACTGGTCTTGATTATGAGAAAGGTTTTGTGGACGTTCATTATCATTATTTTGTAACACGTACTGTTGTACACCAATATCATTTTCAGAATCCTCAGAATATACTTCGTCCGATTCATCCAAATCACCAAATACCATCTCGTCCTCGTCGGAGCTGTCATGTTCCAGTAAATATAGTAGTTCTTTTTCACTTAAAGGCTGTTTTAAATCAATTTTTACCTTTTTTGGTTGAGAAGGTCCTGCCACAATGTTATTACTTTCCGCCATTTTCACTAGACTGTCAACATACACTGGTACTGTCAAATCAAAAACCGCGCAATGTAAATCATAACCTATGATCGATCCTAGCAGGCCGACACTTATTTTTAAACTCATTCCATAAGCCGTATTTAAAAACCTACATTATAGAGCTTACAGCTATATCACGCACTGGCGCGTGATCGGCCTTTTTCCAAGTACGACCATCACGCACTGGCGCGTGATCGGCAGCGAACGAGTTAAGGCATATTTGGCCCAATAGCCATATTTTGGTCCAAATAACCTGTCCTTAGTCTATGTCCCAATAGTTATGACTTACCCTGTATGTAAGGTTTCAGGGTAGTATTTAATAAATTGATATCTCTGCAGTTTTCTGGGTGTTTTTGAACGCGTTTCCCATCTTTACCTACAGCTTTTCTATTCTTCAGTTTTTCAAGTATTTTTTTAACTTTGTGCATGTTTATATTAATTTCTTCGTTTATATATATTTTTTAGTATAAGTTTGTTTTAGGAAAATCAACTCTTGTGAGCGGGTTATCGAAGAAGATCAATGGTGTACAATCTCATTCACCTTCAAGCGCAGTGGAAACGTTAAAAGATAAATTTGTTAATAATCCACTACTAGACAATATATACCATCGTTTTGCTCACTATATAACAGCATTGGAGGTTTACATATTGCTGAAGGATTCACCTGTAGTCTTGGATAGGTGAGCTTTACTACTTAGCTTTAAAAGATTTATTATTATTTTTATAGTGCAGTTGAATCACCTTAAAATATAATATATACACGGTGGGTCACCATTAATACAACGAAAGATTACAGCTAATTGTTAAAAGATTTAAAAGAGTTTTTACAATAATAGTTTGTAAGTTGTTAAAATCTACATTTTAAAATTATTTTGAAACAAACAGGGTGTTGCAATAAATTGCGGCGTATCAAAGTTATATTGAAGTTATACTTTTATACGCGCATTCGACGTTGACAGAAGATATATTTTCTTTCTCGAGAATAAAAATGTTCCTTTTGTAAATATATTTAATTTTTATTAATATTATTATTATTTTTCCATTCTATTCAGATTTGTCTTGAGCCTCGTTAGGCATGTTAAATTATAAATTAAAACTTATAACAAGGTCAAGAAAGTTCAAATGTCTACTTATATATACAACAAACAACAAATAAAAGTTGTATCTGTCAATGTCAGACAAATTGACAGTTGTATCACGAAACAATATTTTTATTTTATTAATATTATTATTCTATCATGGTAAATTAAACATCTGCGTAAGTAAGTTATGTATATTGTCATTTTTAAATACTTATGAATATTGCGTTTTAATTTGTTTTGTATTAATATATTGAATTATGTTGCAGTGCATTGTATTGTATTTTTATATTAATAACAAAATAAAAAATTAATTTTACTACAGCGTATGTGTAAAATTTTTTTTGCATTCAACTTCTTGCATACATATATGAAAATAAAAATATACATTTTCATCAAAATATTGATTTAATCCTTCATTTACTATACTCCTATTACAGTACAAATATGGTTTATATACAGCAAACGATGCACCATATACCTATTTACCTAATTATGTTTCTCTTTCTGCTCTGTCTTACCTATAGCATTGAAGACACTTCGTCTCAGGACCATATTACCTATGTAGGGTCATACGTCGCCATGTTACCAATTCCAACGGTAACTTAAACATCCTAATTTGTAATTATATATAATGTAAAACAACTATAAATTTATACCATTTAAAGGGTTTTGACCCATATATTTTGGTGGCTCATAGCATGTATACTCCGTTTCACTGATGATGGAATTAACATTCCGAAAACGTTCTGTAATGTAATTGTGATAGCCCGTTTGGGCATTTTATTATATACCTTTTATAAAGGATTTGAAATAAAAATTTTTGTGATGTATGGTATACAGCCAGCTACAGGAACTTAGTTTCCTAGTGGATAAATAATAATTACGAACATTTAATTCTCAGTAAGGACAGTTAGTCATTAAACAACAGTGCGAGACAGATAATTAATTTAAAACCAAGTGCGGGTTGGTTTAATGTTTATACTTTAGAATTCTAGTAATCTTTTGTTATTCTTTTGAATTTAAATTTAATCAATTTTGTTATTTGCTAATAATTGTTATACATTTGTAAACTTACGGTACCCGTTATCTCGAGATAAGCCCATAAACAGCAAAGAGAGCTTTCTTTAATCTGTGCATGATTTTATTGTAGTGTATTTGTAAAGGTATTTCTTATTCATAATACTGTTTTTAATAATTGATGGTGCATTTCTTTTACTTGTGGACTGGACTGCCACACCCGTTTTTTTTTCGATAGTGTCTGTTGTTTTTGTTCTATGACGTATTTCTTCGTTTGGGATTCGGTCTCTCAGAGAGATACCCAACATCTGCGCTCCATAGCCATCTGAGTCACGTGAATCTTATTAACTACCTTACTACTTTTAGAATACAACGCTAATACCAGAAATAAATATTTTCAAACTCAAATATTTACACAAAAGATCCCAAGGCGTATTTCTGTTTACGGCATAAAAGAACCACAAATAGCATCAGTTATCGTAGATAAAACATACAACTATTTGTCACCATAGGGAGGTTTCGGTCTTCGCAAGAATTATATCCCATATCTGCTCTCTAGGTGCTCTGCAGAGAGCTTCAACAAGCCCAATAGAAGTTTCCTCTGCGTTTCTGTTCCAATTTTATTGAGTTAGGTAATTTCTTACAATAAAACACAGTTTGGTAGTAGAAAGGTTCAAGCAAAAGAATGTAAGGACGAGTGGTGAGCAAAGCTATGTAAAGGGGTCTCCCAGGGTATAAGTGATCCTATGTGGGAGCCGGAGTAAGACTAGACTGCTTTGGCTTGGAAAATGCACCCTTTTTATACATTTATTTTTCATATTGATAAATTTCATAAGAGAAGAAAGATAGAGTATATACAGTCGTTTTAAAAGAGGGCACAATTCAGAAAATTGGTTGAAAATTAAAATTTTAAAATTGTGCGTGAATTTTTTTCTAATAAATCGTGAGGATAAAACGTGAATGTCTGTTACGCGTTTTAATAAAAAATTAAAATATCTCTTCAATACTGCTATATCTGCGCTTTATCACTTAAGATATTTAAATTTCAGCTTTTATCAAAAGATAATTAAAGCCGTTACTATTTTCAAATAGGAAAAGAAGATGTTGGTCGCTTTCATGTCCAAAATAACTACAGGGTACTATTAAATATTGCGGGACACTAAAGAAGTTGAAAAAAGTCAAAAACAAACGGAGGGGAATGACGACTGATGACAAGACCAGGACCCATAACGCCTGGCTATCAATTGAGAAACTAATCGTCTAATGAGTCACTGTGACTCATCCATTCCATTTGCCTTACCTAAAACCCTACGATTGGCATTTTTGTCTAAATTAAACGTGTTATGGGGACTACAGTGCTTTTTGATTAACAAGGAACAAGATCGAGACTAAAAAAGTGATTTCAAAATATAAAATACACAAAATCTGTTACTCTGATTTCAAAAAACTGATGTTAATACTGATTATGTAAAGAAATCACATCCTATCAATTTTAATTAGATATTCCTATCTATTTTTCTACATTTAACTCTATTTAACTTTATTAATATCGTATTCTCACTTGTTTGGAAGTCATTACTCCTATTCATAGTTTTTAATGTACTCTAACCTTTAAGTTTTTCGAATCATATTAATATATAATTATGTTTCAGATATTGGCATTCATCAGCAACTTATTCCATAGCTCGTGCTGCCTACAACACAAACGGCAAATATATACTGCCTCCAAAAGGTGATAAAATTTACAATTGGCCTGACGATTTACTTAAACCAGATGTAGTGCTTTATCTTAACGTTGATGAAGACGTTCGGGAAAAAAGGTTATATAAAAGAGGTAAACAAAATGACGACACAGCTTTAACTGCTGAGGAAAAAGAGAAAATCGAGAAGAATTTCGGAAAAAACGAAAGATTATTACAGAGATGTCCAGAATATAGAAATAAGTAAGTATTCTTACATTCTACACCCCGTCGCATGTAATCTACTCTGCTCCATTTTATAAACTACATCTACTCTCTGCGTTGTTCCCTCTCTTTTTCTGCCTCTATAGTTTTCTTTCTCTTTCATTACCCTAGAAATCATACCATTTCATACTCTCCTTGACCATATACACATACGTCAACCTCGTCATTGCCAATCAGTTTGACATATTACCAAAATAACTATGCCCCGAAAGCACCTGAATCAGATGATAGTGTTCATTTTAGAAGGTGGCTTCAGTGCTATCTTAAAAATTTGCTCAACGTGCACGGTAATATTGGAGATACGCTGTAAATTCAACCTAAGCCAACGCACACTCTTATTTGTGACAACTTATAACCTCTCTACATTGAAGTTTAACTCTCAGTTTTCGCCAGCCTATTAACAAACCTCCTAGTTTTTGTGTGGGGCCATATCCAGTTCCTTTTTATTTAATCACACTGTAATCTGCTCAATCGCTTTATTCTACCTTCCTTAAATTTCTATTCCATTCTAGCCATAGCCATAACTGTCAGATCATCAGCGTAGCCAAAAAGTGAAACATCTGACAGTATCTACAGTCTCAACTTCCCGTGTAGTACGTTCCACAAGAGATGTCCAATACAGAAACTTCCTCTTGCAATTAACTCCTCAGTCTTCTCTATTGGCAATATAATCACCTCTACCTGGTGATCAGCAGTTTCTTAACTTGATACTTCAACAACATTCTTGAGAGATATTCTTGTCTCTGACCGTTATCACTAGATCCATATCTCTGATGAATATCTCTTTTCCTTTTCCTCTATCTCATACGCCAGCTATCACCTTAACAGCTTTCAAGTTTCATCTTGGCCACTTTTTCTCTCCGCCTCACCAACTATAAAATATAAAATTATTTCGGTTTTGTGTTATAATCTGTTTTTTGTTTTAGCATGATATTGGCATATAAAAACATGGCCAATCCAGAAGTGACAATGGTTAATGCTAATTTATCGATAGACGAAGTATTAAATGCAGCGTACCAAAAAGTTGCCCCTCTATTGAAACAATAGATTTTTTTAATAAAGCAATTTTTGATTATAGAACGATTTTTTTATTACACTGAAGTAAGTCCTTTGGTTTTTCTAATCCTCTGGAAGCAGTAAGGTATATGCCATTAATACCGCAGCCAATTGGCCACGAGACTTCGGCAGATCTGTCCTACATAAGTCTTCATCAACTTCCAATTGATCGTGTGCTGAATATATGTCCATATGACTCTGATTTGGATTATTGAAACCTGTTTGTGACTGAGAATGGAGTCAACCATTTTTAAGTGGGCCTTTCCACCTTTTGTCTAGTGCTCATTTTACCCCGGCGACAAGTCGAGCATACTGTTGAGTACGGCAGTGTGCCCATATTGTCTCAAAGCTATAATTGCTCATAGATCGTGAGCTCTCGGCAGCATCGCTTAGTTTTGATGCGGCGTAACATGACATAACATGATGTGACGTAACAAATCATAAGTTATTGAAGTCTGCCATTCTATGAGACGTTCCCAGTTGATTTAGGCTGTTTATTTTGTAACAGTTTATTCAAGTGTATTCTAGTCATATATACTAACGAAATGTAGTCTATTAGCTATTGGGACGCCCCAAGTCGGTCGTAAAAACTTCCACATCCAGTTTGTTGAAACTTATAGACTCAGGCCAGTATGATGTCAATTCTCTCCCTTACTTTTGTCGTTTCACCATTACTGAGGATCATGATTTCTTACAATATTCCTAACAATTTTACTCCATTGGTCTCTATTTTGAGCTGCTCTGAGAGCTGCGCAGAATGAGTTTCCAGCTGAATTCTTAATTTGGTCGGACCATCTAGTTGGTGATCGTTCTCTCGATCTTCTCCCCGGAACGAATATATCAGGCAATTGAGTTGGGATACGTTGATTACGTTGATACGTTGATCTACGTTCTAATTTGGCGTGCATACTATTCTCCATGCTATAGCATGCTGGAGGAGCCATACAGCACGTAGTCAACACCCCGAAGTAAAAGCGGGAATACAAAGTGTAGCAATAATCATACGCTTATAAAACGCACCTGGTACATCACAAGGGCCTTCACATTTTACACTTTTTCAACTAGTCGAGTGAAATGTCTTTATCTTTTTTTATCAGACTCTCTTGGCTATCTCTTGTTTCTTCCGACCCTGAATGGCTATTAGGTTTCCGAAGGCAAACAGGTTTATGTACACTATATTTCTTTCTACTACATACTCTTCTAAAACTGATGATGCGGCGAGAATGATAGCCACAGAAACGGCACATATACAGCGGTGCAGAAGGCAATGGGAAACCATTGCTCTATTTTCCCAAGAGAATTTCTTCCCATACGGAAAACGTTTTTGATATTGATTATATTCCACAAAAAAGATCTTTATAAGAAAAGAATACGAGAAAAATAGAAGCCAATGGAAAAAATCAACAGAATATAAAACAAGCCTGTTGAGAAGCACTTAGTGTAATAAAAACATCAATATACATATACAAATCAATAAAATTCTACCCAAAAGAAAAGTACAAAGGGAAAACCAGCATACCTTACACATAAAATACACCAGCAGGATAAGCTGGGTGAATTGAGCATTGACTGAACATTCCTGATGTCGATACCTACCGATTCCGGAGAAAAGAAGATATTAGGTTAAGTTAGCTCCCTTGCAAAGGAAAATAGTTCAGACTCAGATAACCGGAGATATTGTCTCAGAAGTCGAACGGATCCTTATCCAATAAATAGAACAAGAGTATGGAAAAAACTACAAATATCTCACGAATATTCTATTTCAATGTTACGTTACTAAAATGAATATAGGAAAATGGATATAGTTACTGTAATGATAATAGATCTAAATAATGATGTAGTCCATTTTCCGTACACTGGTATTAAATTTTTCAGCCATGATGTTCTTCTTCTACCAGGATCTAGGATCACGTTTATCTTAGATCTTTCCCCGCAATGATCAAATCCAAAAGTTCATATGTTTCAGAATATTTCATGTAAATGAAGTATTACAGCTGGCTCTGGTTCATCTTTTTCAGTAGCAATTAGATATGATTCAGTTCTGATAAATCTCCTTTACATTTTATTGATTATGGTAATTTCCCTTCTATGATTTCTCACTAATTCTTTACTGACTGTACTATGTAATAATGTTTAATTATGTTTAATAATTTAATTGAATTTTGACAGTGTGCCAGTTTCTTGTATAGAATTTCCAATCTCCTAAAATTTTGAATAACGCTGGGCCCATAACGGTTTCTTAATATTGTTCTAAAGCTATTTTCTTGTGGCATTGTAAATTAATTACTATTAAACTGGGAATAATCCACAATTAAAGATAAAAATACGTTTATTGACGTTTCAATTTCCACTTCGGAAATCGTTCTCAAAATACAAATAGTAAATTGTATTGTAAATAATTAAATTGTAAAATTATTAAATTGTAAATAATTTACTATTTGTATTTTGAGAACGATTTCCGAAGTGGAAATTGAAACGTCAATAAACGTATTTTTATCTTTAATTGTGGCTTATTCCCAGTTTAATAGTAATTATGTTTAATAATATAATTAGAAAGTTAATTTTATTAACTTTCTAATTTTACAGCTACGTGGTATTCCACTCTTCGATAAATGTTCTAACCTAACAACTGTCATTTTTCAAGTCAAGTCACAATAGTCCTCTTAGTTTTGAAATTAGTGACTGTTTCTACAGAAGATATCTGCAAGTGGTCTCTTTTGATTTAATTTAATATTCTATATTCTATTTTTTATCTTGTCTAGACTCTCCTTCTACAATGGTTATCAACTACTCCTTGTTTATATTTTTTGAAATATTCTACCCATCTTTGAAATTGTCTGAATCTTTTTGTTTTCTACTTTTTCAGCTCTACCTGTCAAATATTCTACATCCTTTAACGTTTTTAACACTCATTTTTATTTATTTGTCTTTCACTTTTATACTTTTTCCAGACGTTTCTGTTTTTATCTATTGTTTGTTGTCATTAATGTTAGTTTTATCACAGAATACTCCATCAAAGTTGGGTGGCGTATTCTGTGGTTTTATCTTCTTGCTCCATGAAATTGTCACGATTGTTGTATTTGTCAGCCACGGCTTATCTTTTTTCCCTTTTGTCTTTTATTTTCTCAGCTGTATTTGTAATTGGAAATATTGTGAGGAACCAAATCGACTACATTAGAATTAATAAAAGGTTCCGTAATGGTATTCTAAATGTAAAAACGTACCCAAGCTGTGACATAAATTCAGACCACAATCCTGTAGTTGCAACTGTCAGAATAAAACTTAAAAGAGTAGGCAAGGCTAAACCCAGTCAGAGAAGTATAAAAACATATGTATAAAGACATGGTAGACACGCAGTTAGAGTCTAAGACATTAGCTCCCACTAAAGAGAAGACAATTAAAGAAAAAATTGAAGACATGTGGAGAAAAATTAAAAATACTGTCCTGGAGGCAGCAAACCAAAATATACAGAAAGAAAACCGTAAACAAAGAAAAAAATGGATAACAAACGAAATATTACAAATTATGGAGAGGAGACGGATGGTAAAAAACAAAAACCTAACAAGATACAAAGAGCTTAACAGGGAAATTGAGAGAAAGATAAATGTAGCTAAGGAAGAGTGGATGAAAGAAAAATGTAAAGAGGTAGAAGATCTGCAAAGGAAGCATAAAGATAGAGAATTACACAGAAAGGTGAAAGAAGTCGCTGGGATATGGAAACCCAAACCTTTATCTATTGTAACAAACTAGAAAAACCAAATGGAATTAGACCCTGAAAAACAGAAGGAAATATGGGAACAATATCTTAAAGATTTGTTTGGTGATCGGAGAGCAGAAGGGCTCCCACAAATAGATACCGATGGAAAACTAAGTATGCTAACCGAAGAAGTTATGCGGGCAATAAAACACGCAAAGAACAACAAGGCACCCGGCGAAGATCTAACAACAGTCGAACATTTTAAACACCTGAGTGATGATGCTGTCGGGAAATTAACCTACCTCTTTAACATTATATATGAACATGGCACTCTACCGCATGACTGGCTAACATCCACATATGTAGCTCTTCCTAAAAAACAAAAGCAAGGAAATGTGAAGACCATCGAACTGTATCCCTAATGAGTCATGCTGCTACGATTTTTATGCGAGTAATTTATAACCGCATTCACAATAAGTGTGAAGAATACCTGAGTCGTTCTCAATATTGTTTTGGCACTAATGGCAGAAAGGTATCTCGAGGTTTAAAAACAGCTGTATGTGTGCTTTGTCGATTATAGAAAGGCCTTCGACCGCATTAGACACGAAAAATTGATTGAGGTGCTAAAAGAAGTAGGGCTGGACGGACACGACATAGCTATAATAAGCAATACATACTGAAACCACACAGGATGTGTTCGAACAGACAACGGAAATACCAATTATGTAAACATAGAACGCGGAGTGCGTCAAGGGTACATTCTGTCCCCTCTTCTATTTAATGTCTATGCCGAAAATATCATCAGAGCTTCTCTTGAAGATCGCCCTGAAGGTGCCAGAGTCAATAGAATCATTATTAACAATGTAAGATATGCCGATGACACCGTAGTATTAGCAGAAACAGAAGACCAACTAAAAATATTGATGAACATACTATCAGAAAAAAGTCACAGACTAGGTTTGGATATTAATCTTTCCAAAACCAAAATCATGGTATTCCACAAGAACCCCCATGAACAAATTACACCCAACATACAAATCAATGGTATCACCCTTCAGAGCTCCCAAAGCTTCATATACCTGGGCAGAGAGCTAAACAGTCAGCTAGACCACTCAAAAGAAATTAGAAGACGTATTGAAATAGCAAGATCTGGCTTCATGAACATGCGTAAATGCTCTGTAACCCCAAGCTATCAATCACAATAAGGTTAAGAACACTAAAGTGTTATGTGTGGTCTCTACTACTATATGGCTGTGAGACCTGGACATTAAAACAGTATGACGTCAACAAACTGAATTCATTCGAAATGTGGATGTACCGCTGAATGCTAAGAATAAGCAGGACCAGCAAAACTACAAATGAAGAGGTACTGGAAATAATGAACACACGACCTCATCTGGTTAATACAATCAAAATTAGAAAGACGTCATATCTAGGACACATAATGCGCCATAAGGAATTTGAGCAGCTCCAGGTAATATTAAAAGGCAAAATCGAGGGTAAAAGGGGTATAGGAAGAAAGAAGAAATCCTGGCTCCGAAACATCAGAGATTGGACTCACACAAAAGGAAATCACTTAATCCATCAAGCCCAGAACAGAGAGAAATTTGCCATATTGATCGCCAACCTCAATAGAGAAGGCACTTAGGAGAAGGAGGATTTGTAATTGCTGCCTTCACTGGATTCCTTATTTCTTCTATGCTATACTGTATCAATTACAATGAAATGCCTTTTCATTTTTCAAGGTACTTCTACTTCCTCACGCTTTTCTTGATCGGAAATGCTTTGTGATGTGCCGTTTTTTCTTTGTTTGTTTTTTTTATTACCCGTGTAATTTTCTCCTTAACTAATCTTCAGTGTGGTTCTTAAAATGTCACGGTCCTAGTTTACATTGGTTCGTTTCATGTTTTATTCTACTAATATCTTTTTCCTGAAAAAATGTCCGGTTACTATAATTTGTTCCATCTTGACTTAACAGTACAGGTTCTTATGACCAACAGTGATGCCAAATTTGATCAGAAACAGGTTTGAAGCAAATATATTTTTTTCTATAGGATAACTATAAAGAACTTTGAAATTAATATTATTGACATTGTTGTGACTGTCAGGGGTTCTAAAACATTTTTTTTTTCGAAAAATACTTTCATGTGAATAAAATAAAAATATTTTGTATAAAAAATTTGTATAATAATATACTTAAGCGCATTAATCTGTTCTTCTTCTTCAAGTTCCACTCCTATCGGAGATTGAAAATCATTCTGGCAATTATAATTTTATTGGTTACTCGCCTGAATAGTTCAATTGAACTGCATCCAAACCATTCACGGAGATTGCGTAGCCACGAGATTTTACGTCTTCCTACGCTTCTTCTACCTTTGATTTTACCCTGCATTATATTCCTTAGTAGTTCGTACTTTTCACCTCTCATGATGTGCCCCAAGTATTCCAATTTCCTGATTTTTATGGAATTTAAAACTCCGCATTGTTTTCCTAGTTGTTCGAGAACTTGTTCGTTTGTTTTGGGATCCATCCATGATATTTTTAAAATATGTCGGTAACACCACATTTCGAATGCTTCTAGGTTTTTAATGTTGAATTTTTTAAGTGTCCAAGCTTCAACTCCATACAAAAGGGTAGAGAAAATATAACATCGAAGCATTCTTATCCGGAGCGATATGTTAATATCGCGATTACAAAAAAGTTTTCTCATTCTATTAAAAGTTGACCGCGCAATTTCAATGCGGCATCTTATTTCTTTTGTCTGATCAGTATCTTCTGTGATCCATGCTCCAAGGTATTTGTACGAAGATATTTGTTCAATTTCTGTATTATCTAGTACTAGCTTAACTTTGATGTTTTGTGCTTTTGTAAATACCATGAACTTGGTTTTCTTCAAATTGATTTTTAGTTCATAATCGTTGCAATATATATTTAGTTGTTCAGCAAGGTGTTGCAGTTCTTCTAGTGTTCCTACCAGAAGGACGGTGTCGTCAGCATATCTTATGTTATTAAGTGGCTCACCGTTTATTATAAGGCCCTCACTGATCTCGGCAAGCGCCAATTCTGAGATGGCTTCACTGTATAAATTGAATAACAAGGGTGATAAAATACCCCTTGGCGGACACCACGGCGAATCTGGATATCCTTGGTCAGTTCGTTTTCAACTTTCACTTTTGCTGTTTGATTCCAATAGAGGTTACAGATGATTCTAATGTCTCTACTGTCTATGTTTTTATTTAATAAAATTTCTTTAAGTCGATTATGCTGCACTCTGTCAAATGCCTCCTCAAAATCAATAAGAATCTTCGCATCTCTGCGAAGAACACTTAATGCAAACAGTGCATCTCGTGTTCCCAGTCCTTTCCTAAATCCCATTTGTGTATTACTTATGCCTTCATCTAATTTCTTATGTATTCTATTGTGAATTACTTTTAAAAACAATTTCAAGACATGACTCATTAAGGCTATGGTGCGATGTTCATTGCACTCCTTTGCATTGGCTTTTTTGGGAAGCAGTATGAATGTTGATTGGAGCCATTCTTTAGGTATTATACCTGTTCTATATATGGTATTGAATAGATCCAAAAGAAGATCAATAGATTTAGTATTCACAATTTTAAGTAATTCGATAGGAACTTCATCAGGCCCGGGAGATTTACCACCTTTAGCTTGTTTCATTGCATATTTAATTTCTTCTTGTATAATGTCAGGCCCAGTATCATCCTTAAATTCTTTTGGTGCTTCTGTTCTCTCTTTTTCTTCAAAAAGTTGTGCTATATATTGTGTCCATCTCTGCATTTTTTGGTTTATATCTGTTATAAGTGCACCCCTTTCATCTCTTAGTTGCCTAGTTTGAAGTGTTTTTCTCATTCCTGTTAATTCTCTAATTCTTTTATGCATGTTAAAAAAGTCATATTTTTTCTCAATTTCTTCTAATTCTTGGCACTGCTCATGTAAAATTCTCTCCTTAGCTTCTCTTATTCTCTTTTTTATTAATCGATCAGTTTTATTATATTTAATTGGATTTTTTGTTTTGAATAATTTTCTTTCATTCATTAATAGTAGTATTTCTTCAGTCATCCAATCTTTATGTTTTCTATTCTTTGGTTTTAAGTTTTCATTTGCTGTATTAATTATTGCTACTTTTATATTTTCCCATTTCTGATCAATGTTATAGCTACTTTTATTCAGTTCTTAGGCATTACGTAGATTTTCAGTAAGAGTTTTTACAGTTTGTTCCTTTGTTTGTGGTTCCCTTAATCTCTTAATATCAATTCTACTTTGTGTGGGTTTTTTAACTAGTTTTAATTTGGTTCGTAATGTGACTACTATGGGGTTATGGTCTGAACCGATGTCTGCTCCAGGGTAAGTTTTGGCAGACAGTATAGAATTAGACAGATTTTCTACTTGTTCCTTCTTAAAGTTTGTGTTATATAAAAAAAAGAGGTTATATCTTTGTAAATGGGTATATTTAAAAACCCTTAAAAGGGCTACATCAAATTACACTAACGTTTTCGGAATAATAATTCCATCATCAGGTTTAAAAATGCAAGTTAACATGCCTAAGCCACCAAAATATCAGGGTAAAAACCATTTTTAATACACAAGGTTATTTAATATTAAATTAAATTTAACTTTAGGTAACATACACCCATGTCTTAAGTGAGTTCCAGCGTCCGGAGTTTAAACCTCTTCAAACGGACTTCAGCTGGTAACTGGTAACAGTAACAGTTACCAGCTGAAGTCCCTTTCATATTCTCTTTTCAGTTTGTTTACTACTGCTTGGACTTGTTTATAAAACAGTTCTTTTGCTTCATATTTATGCTCAATATACAATTAAAAAAAAAACAAATGGAAATATAAAACAATATATTTAAAAAAATTAGACTATCACTTTATATGGATTTAGTATTTTGTTTGGATCTAATAAACGTTTCAAATCTTTCATTAGATTCAATGTGTTAACAGTTTTAAGTCTATCCATATATTTCTGTTTTATAACACCTATACCGTGTTCGGCACTAATACTCCCTCCATAACTCAATATCTTGTCAAAAACAAAAGGATCAATGCGCTTCTTTATTTCATCGGTTAGATCATCTTTCAACTGAATTTGAAGATGTATGTTTCCGTCACCTGAAGATAAAAAACAATTATTATTTTAGTAATACCAACCTTAAAGAAATCTAAAGAAATATTATAGGATGACGCGTCATGACGTGGTGTATTTATGGACTTTTGGACTTTATTAATGGCATTACGTTTCAGTTTGCAGCCCAGTTTAAACCCTTCTCTTTTTGTTTGTTAATATGTATTAGTAATCTTTTAATATGTTTTCTCCGTTAGAATTTGAAAATTGAATAAAGGAGAACAAAACAAGACTAGAAATGCAGAAACGAAAAATTTTATTGTTATGGAACAGAACACACAGTTAAACAATATTTAAAAAAAAAGTCTTCGTCTTTTGATTTTGGGACATCTGATTATCACGTCTCTATTATATTCTTCTGCAATATTAAGCCAATGAAATGGCTTATTCTTTGGATTTCTTTCGTTCACTGCTTTTTAAAATTTTTTTTTTTTAAATCCGCCTGGAATGACTGTTGGGTGTTTGTTTTGCTAGGTCCACTATATGGCTTATTATGGGAAAATACCCCTTTTCTTTCTTTTACAGTGTGTCTGAACCCTCAATATCACAATCTTTACCTAGGCGATTTTCTCTTATTGTATCTGTTCCTTTACATCCCCTTGATGTAAGTTGTTCCAAAAGCAGCAGCGTGGTAAAATAGTTGACAAAATTTATATCATAGGATAATTTGGAAGCCTTGACTTCTAGGGCATCAACAAATTGTAAGAGGTTCCAAACCAAGAATTTTATATTTATCTTGAATAGTGGATGAAGATCTCTGATATGGATCAAACCACTCCACATAACCTAGTCTAGTAGTCTCCATCCAAAACTTATATCCCCATCTGATAGGTTTACCAAGGATAAATTGTTTGAATCCATATTTTCCATAATACGGAACCATTGACTCATCCAAGCTGTGGTGTTCTTCTTGTGGTGATAAATCGAGCAATTTTTGATTCATTACATTAATCACTGGTCGAACCTTTGAAAATTTGTCCTGTGTATCCAATTTTGCATTGTCACAGCGCTGAATATTCTGTATGATAAATCTGAAACGGTTTTTAGACATTTCATTAGCTACAAGGTCGTGAATAGAACCAGGGGATTTTTTCCAGTAATATCTTGCCTAGGAATATCCACTATATAATAAAATTCCAATAAAACATTCAATTTGGTTTGTTGTAATATCGCCTTCACGGTTATGAAAATTGGCGTACATATTTGAAAATTCAACAGGCATCTAAATAACTGTATCATCAAAAAATAGGAAAAAAGTATTTACCGGGGAAATGATGTTTTACTCTTGGTCCGTCGATAGTTTTTGCGGCGTTTGTTCTTCTGTTCTTTCACATTTCCTGTAGGAGCTACTTGTATTTTAGACTTTGACGTATTTTTTTTAGAGAGCGGCAAAGGGATGTCGTCTTCATCTTCATTTATATCGGATTTGGTATGGGTTTTTGGATCATTTATGACTATCTGCCTCTACTCGTAGTTGATTTACTGGCAAGTTAGGTACTTATTTCCATAGCATCTTCATCATCGCTGTCCTCGTCAGCCTCTTCCCCATCTTTGGGTGGAAAAATAATTATGTCGTCAGGAAGTTCATTATATGACAGATTTTCTATCTCGTCCATTAACTCACTTAAAGTCAAAGGTTTTGTCCAGTACCTAAAAAAAGATTCATGCTTATTATAGCGAAAAACGCCCCCGTTCTTTATAAAGAACAACAAACTTTGATAGCCAATATACAAAAGTAATAATATTTTAACTTTTTACATATAATATTAAAGGCATTTTAAACACATTCATAAAATATCTAAACAATATATTTTACTCACCTTCTATCAGTCATGTTTGGAAACTATAAACAGTCTTTCAGGTAATCTCAAGAATTCTCTAGAAAACACCAGATTTATACAACAATTGTTGATCTTTTTTTAATAAAATGGCTTCTTGTTACACAAAACAGCACGCTGTCTCTTAATAACTAGCAAAAGAATTAAATTACAGGCATCTTTGTAGCGAGGTCTTTTAAAAGGACGGTGGCCTTAAATGGGTTATTCAGAAATGATACTTCACATATGAGAGTAGCTCTAAAATCACAATTTCCTCGCCATGGAATACCAAGTATTTTATATTGTGACACAGGTGCCCAGTATTATTATTATAGCCCTTTCTCTATCCGAATTGTCGAATAAAGGCCTCTCCAATTTCTCGCCACTCATCCCTGTTGTGTGCTAGGCGTTTCCACATTGGTCCTGCGACTCTTTTGATATCGTCGCTCCAGCGTATTTGAGGTCTTCCTCTTGGTCTCTTCGCATCGTACCGTCGCCAGTTTCCGACTTCTTTGTTCCATCTACCATCTTCGAGACGTTCGTTGTGTCCAGCCCATTTCCATTTTAATTTAGCTGCTTGTTTCGCGGCGTCCTTTATTTTTGTTTTGTTCCGGATTGCTTCGTTCGTTTGCCGATCTATTAGTGAGATACCAAGCATCTGTCGTTCCATGGCTCGCTGAGTTTTTCGAATCTTGTCCATGTTCTTTTTTGTGAATGTCCAGGTTTGAGCTCCGTAAGTGAGAACGGGAATGATACAAGAATCGAACACTTTGGTTCGAAGGTTTTGGGGTATCTTTTTGTCTTTCAGTATGTATGAGAGTTTTCCAAATGCGGCCCATCCCATTCTTACTCGTCTGCTTATTTCGGTAGTTTAGTTTTCTTTGTTTACAAAGGTGCCCAGTATAGAAGTTATAAATTTACAGAATTTGCTAAAAAATGGCAATTTCATTGTAAAATGTCAAGTCCATATTATCACCAATCAAATGGTATGTCAGAAAGATATGTTAAAACCTTTAAAAAACTACTTAAAAATGTGAACATAATCGTAGAGACCCATATGAACATGGACGTATAAACACAGATATGTTTATACGTCCATGCTTATGAAGCTATAATATAGTATCCTATATATCACATGCAAATAATTATAGTAATATACTTTACCCAGATGACCAAATCCAAATACTCGTTCGCTTAAGTCCTTCGTGAATTCAGTGACATCATTAACTATAGAATAATAATTTGAGAGAGGCAGGGAAACGTCATAATACATCATTTTTGTTGAGCAAATCTTAAATCCATTTGGAATATTTTCCCGTATTGACCACAGAGCCTAAACAATAATAGAAATATTTTATTCAAATAAAATATATGATAAAATTAATACAGGATGTCATGAGGAACTTTACATACTTCTACCATATGTAGAGTCCTCTCTACATATGGTGCTCCTCTCTTTATTAATTAACAGGGTGATTTGTGTAATTGACCATTTATTTCATTTTACTGTAGTGTTTATACGGCTTATTTGATTTTTTTTAATTTTTGCATGATACAGTACACTACTATCAACCATTCGACTGGTATTAGCTAAACTAAAAAATTCCAGGACTGGCTTTGGAAAAATTAATTTAGGGATTCGTATTAAATATTACACCCTGTATATATATATATATATATATATATATATATATATATATATATATATATATATATATATATATATATATTTTTAAATGCAATAAGTGATTTTCAAACTACATAAATAGACAATGAAAACGACATATGCGACAATGTTGTCGCACTTTTATTAAGTTTTTAGTGAACGATCAAATCTTACCAAAAATAGAACAACCATAATGATGTATCAAATTATAAGGTATTAATTTAAAAAAATGTTATAAATTTCAAACATTTTAATTAAAATGAGTTCCTACAACATAATCTAATACGTAGAAAATTAACATCTTTACTGTCACTTTGTATTATCTCTACGATAGAATCAATTGTTTTTTAATTTTAAATTATTACTCATAGATTGTATTGGGGCATTATTTTCGATAAATAATAAATTAAATTGATTAATAAGTCAAACCTCTTGTATGTGTTAGTTTTTGTTGATTGTAAATGATTAAAATTTTATGTCAAATAATAATACATTGCATCAACTGTACTAAATAAAAATAAATCTAAAAAAGTTTAAAATGAAGGTTGGCGTTGACCGTTTGACGTTTCTTGATATTTTATACCCATTGTCATTATTGTCATTATCAATTGTTATTTATGTGTACAAGAATACATATTTCTTCTGTCATATCTACGTTAAGTACATTGTGTTAGTTTTGGTAGAGCTTTTGTTACTTTCGTTCAAAATGCCACATCAGTTTCCGACCACAGAATATGCAGACATAATATTTGTTTATGAATTCTATAATGGGAATGGTAGGGCTGCTAGTAGAGAATATCGCAGGAGATTTCCTAATCGTCGAACTCCCAGTCATCCAACATTTGGGACAGTTTTTAATTATTTGCGAGAAAATGGCACTTTTCGAGAAAGAACGTTTCGAGAAAGAATGTTTCGAGAAAGAACGGCGACGTGCGCGAATTAGAGGTGGGAACTTTCTAGAACGTAGTAACTCAGGTATATATATGTAACGATCTTAGGAGTAAGTTTAGTTGATAAGATAGTACCGAACTGTAAAGTTATAAATAAATATATTTATATAAATTCGAACCGCTCGTTTGGTGTCACCGTGTGAGGACAATTGATTTGAATATAAATTCAACAGTGATTTTTGAAAAAGACTTTTAAACTTTTGAAAAGTATTGTTTGTCGGGAACATCCGCGTAGTTCAGTAGTGATCGTTGTACGAAAGAACATTTAAAAAGTACGTGTGTGCCTGACCAAAGATGCTGCTAGTAGAACTTTCAGTGAAACAGTTGCGTGAGCAAGTAGAAGAACGCGATGAAGACTGCAGCGGGTCCAAGAAGATCCTCCAAGAACGACTGAAGACTGTTCTCAACAAGAATGGAGACGACCCAGAGACATTCCAGTTCCAGTCAGCAAAAGAAGCCGTTTTAACTAAAATAATTGATGGAAAATTCGAGACTGTTTCCAAAAGATTCGATGAAACGTCACAAATGATTGAAGAGTCTTCGAAAAAAAAAATGATGATAAATTCGAGAACGTTTCCAAAAGATTCGATGAAACTTCTCAAATTATTAAAGAAACAGTTAGGCAAAACGACGAGAAATTTGAAAATATGTCTAGAAGATTCGACGAAGTATGTATTCAGAATAGTGAGAAGTTTGAAGAAGTCTCTAAAACATTCGATAAAGTAGAACAGAAAATCAAACAGTTAGAGAGCATGATAACTAACACGAAAGTGCTATCACCAATTAATACGTTAGCTTTAGATCCGCTTGTGAAAGAAGAATCACCTAGATACGATATGACACATCATATCAGATTCAAATTGCCACCATTTGATGGAAAGTCCTCTTGGTCCATATACCTTAGACAATTTCAAGCTATTGCGACAGCCAATCATTGGACAGAACAAGAAAAAGCTGTTTCCTTGACTGCTGCTTTACGAGGTGATGCTGCAAATATCCTAAGATCGATTCCTAAGGGTCAAGAAAAATGTTACCAGACCTTGTTCACTCGACTAGACAAACGTTACGGAGATGCCCATCTACAACAAGTCTACAAAGTACAAATAAGAAGTAGAATTCAACGAGCAAGTGAGAGTTTGCAAGAATTTGAAGCAGATATTGCTCGTATAACGCTGTTGGCCTATCCAGAGGCACCAGACAACATTTTGGAAGAAATTGCTGTAGATGCCTTCGTCAATGGGTTGAGAGACAGTGAACTACAGAAAGCTTTACGACTAGCAAGACCGAAAATTTTAGATGAAGCGCTCGCCATTGCCTTGGAACATGAGATAGCTAGTCGAGTTTCACGGAGCTATCAAGTACGAACCTCTGAAGAGAGTGACGAACGAAACGATAAACGTCTGGAGGAAATCGTACGGAAAGTATTTCGTAACATGATGCCGAAGAGACGTGAACCCAGATGTTGGAATGGTAACAACGAAGGTCACATTCGCCACAAAGTGCAAGAAAATAATACAACAGTCAGAAAGCTAGAACAGATCGAGCACGCTATAAAAAGTCATTCAAATGCTGATGTTCAATCAAGACGGCCATACAGTAAAAATCGTAATCATTGTCTTAAATTAGAAGAACGACTTTGCCCCGTGAGGCGAACCACCGTTATTAATGATCAATGGCAGCCTCAACAGCTACAAGACGCTCAAGCAGATGATCCATGTATAAAAAGAGTATTGGATTGGGTGCGTCGAAGTAAAAGACCTTCTTGGCAAGACATTAGTGCATGTAGTCCCGAAGTCAAGTGTTACTGGAGCCAATGGAATTGCCTAGTTCTGAAAGATGATCTTCTGTATAGAACCTTTGAGAACGATGATGGTACAGAAACTAAGCTTCAGTTGATTGTACCTAAAAGTAAAGTGTCAGAAGTATTGCGTCAGTTGCATGACGGTGCATCAGGTGGACACTTTGGTATTACGAAGACTCTGCAAAAGGTTCGAGAACGGTTCTATTGGGTGAACTGTAAAGATGATGTAAGAAGATGGTGCCGGAAATGTGAACTGTGTGCAACTAGTAATGGTCCAGTTGGTAAAAAGAGGGCACCCATGAAACAATACAATGTTGGTAGTCCTATGGAGAGAGTAGCAATCGACATTGCAGGTCCACTTCCAGAGACGAATGATGGAAATAAATATATATCCTGGTAGCCATGGATTATTTTACGAAATGGACTGAGGCCTATGCGATACCAAATCAAGAAGCTGCTACCGTAGCAGAGGTACTTGTTAAAGAATTCTTTAGCCGATTTGGTGTTCCCTTGGAAATCCACTCCGACCAAGGGCAAAACTTCGAGTCAAACCTTTTCCAAAACGTTTGTAAATTGATTGGTGTCAATAAGACCAGAACGACACCCCTGCATCCTCAATCAGATGGAATGGTCGAGAGGATGAACCGAACGATGGGTAAACACCTGTCCAAAGTTGTATCAAAACATCAAAGAGATTGGGATCAGCACATTCATTTATTCTTAATGGCATACCGCTCGGCCGTGAATGAAACTACGGGCCAGACTCCAACCTGCCTGATGTTAGGTCGTGAAGTTCGTTTGCCCTGCGACCTAGAGTTTGACTGCAGACCTTCCGAAGAACATGTTGCAAGCGAAGATTATGTCGACCGCCTAAAGTTAAGAATAAACAACATTCATGAACTTGCCCGACAACACATCCAGTTAGCCAGTGACAGAATGAAAGATCAATACGATTCTCGATGCAAGAATGAAAGCTATGAAGTAGGTGATCTTGTTTGGCTTTATAATCCCCAACGTCGTCGTGGCTTGTCTCCTAAACTGCAAAGACAATGGGAGGGTCCGTATGAAATTAAAAAGAGAATAAATGACGTAATATACCGAATTAAGAAGTTGCCGAAAGGTAAACCAAAAGTAGTTCACATAAATCGTCTTGCACCTTATGCTGGCTCAAATGAAACCGAAGAAGTCCGAACCCTTCAACATGAGATCAAATATGATCGGCGACCAAGCTTTAATGAATTTATGTCAAATTCCGCATAACGTCTCTCTAGCCCACTGCGTTGCCCAAGATCTTGAGATGACTAAAGGAATCTCATCCGTATTTTATAAGAAATTTGGTCGCTTGGACGAGTTAAAAAACCAGCAGCCTAAAGTTGGAAGAGTGCTGAGATTAGAAGATGGTTCTCGATCTTTGCTGTATATGATGACCAGGAAGTCGTATACAGACAGGGCAACCTACGAGGATATATGGTGTGCTCTAACTAATTTGAAGAAAATCGTCTGCAATTACGACATTAAGAATTTGGCTTTACCCAAGATAGGCCATGCACTAGATAATCTGAATTGGAAGATTGTCAGAAGCATGATTGAAGTGATCTTCCGAGAATCCGGTGTAAGAATTACTGTGTGTTGCATTAATCCGAAGAGATCGTGTCCTTCAAAGACAGTAGACTGTTATTTCTTTTTGAGGGGTTTCAATTTCAATTAAAATGTTTGAAATTTATAACATTTGTTTAAATTAATTACCTTATAATTTGATACTTCATTATGGTTGTTCTATTTTTGGTAAGATTTGATAGTTCACTAAAAATTTAATAAAAGTGCGACAACATTGTCGCATATGTCGTTTTCATTGGCTATTTATGTAGTTTGAAAATCATATATCAAATATATATATATATATATATATATATATATATATATATATATATATATATATACAGGGTGTAATATTTAATACGAATCCCTAAATTAATTTTTCCAAAGCCAGTCCTGGAATTTTTTAGTTTAGCTAATACCAGTCGAATGCTTGATAGTAGTGTACTGTATCATGCAAAAATTTAAAAAATCAAATGAGCCGTATAAACACTACAGTAAAATGAAATAAATGGTCAATTACACAAATCATCCTGTTAATTAATAAAGAAGAGGAGTTGACATTTTTTAGTGGCCACATGATATGCTCCCTGAGGGACTCTACATACGGTAGAAGTATGTAAAGTTCCTCATGACTCACCCTGTATAGTAGACTCAGTGAGCTTCGGAATATTTGACAGACTCATTATTAGACACTTTTTTGCAACTAAGAACTGTTACAGCCTGTTTCACATGAAAAACAGTAAGTAAAATTGTTTGTCTTTAAATGTCAGAGATACAGTTGAATCCACGGTTCTTTAGCCGTGCGTCATCAATACCTGGCAAGATAAAACACACTTTTTATCTGGCATCATTGACTTCCACGCATGAAATAAAACTAAAGACAAGCCAGCTACTGGCTTATTAAGTAAAGACACATATTATTTTTATGAACGCTTTAGTTTAGACCCAGTACATTGAAAAGAGATAGGTACAAACAAGACGCTTGGGGACGTTTTCAGATTTTAAAATCAATGTGTGACGTTTCTGGTTTGTTTACGAAACGTGGATTTTTTCTAGGGGAAATAAAATGATGTCATGGCAGGATGACAATAGTAGAAGTGTACGTAAACCAGGTGGTTATGATGGAAAAATATTTATTGTGGTTCATGACGGTTCAGCAAAAGGTTTTATTTCAGACGCTAGTTTATTATAGTGGATTATTCTCCCGTAGAGTTAACTTTTATATATCTATAGAAGTAGGGATAGTATAGAGTAGTATATCTATTGTAAGGTTACAGTAGTTTCTTCTATTTTATAATGGGAACATCCGTAAAATAATTAAAATAAATTATATATATAGTTTAGAAGATTAAATATATGAATACAAACATTTTACCTCAATTTTTGCAGGTTCGCTAGCAACGGTGCCGTTCAGTACTAAAGCTTTGTTTAGAGCTGCTTCAAAAAAATTATTGAGTTTTTCTTCATCGTGTTGTTCATTGCTGCCCGATGTTTCGATAAGTAAGTAAAATGGATAATCACCAATTGGAGAGTTTTGACCGACAACTTCATTGATAAAATCCATCGTAGGAGTATCGATAACTTCTACAGCCGATATAATTTCTCCGAGTTCTGCCTTAAGAAATTTAAAAGTTTTCAGGACTTTATCAAAGTTTTGTAAACCTATAAAAAAATAAAAAAAAAGTTCTAGATAAAATATTATAATAGGTATATAGAAACATATATATACAGTGGTGAGTGCCTTATCACCCGGCTTTTTAACGTAAGAGATAGAAAACACAGTTACCTTGTAAAATAAAAGGAGATGAAACTCGTAGAGGTGGGAAATAATCGATAGAAACCTATAATTTACATTACATTACATTACGACTATCGATAGTCTCACACCTTTAGACGTTACCTTCGATCTAAATCACCTCGGTCATAATTATTATGTTTGACTTGTTTGATGTATTTCCATTTTTTAATTTAGATAAAGTAAAAACTGATTGACCATAATAAAGCAAAAATGTGAATAAAATAATTTAATTAATAGTGATTACTTATTCTAAAGTTTTAAATTATTAACCAAGAATAATTTCTACTATGATTTGAGGAGTTTCATACACTCTTGTCACAAGCAATCCTTCGTGGATTAGTGGTAAGAATTCGACTCTGCGACGCAGATGATTATAGTTCAAAACCTACATGAGGTTTTCTTTTTTCTTTTTTTAATAATTTGAAATTATGCAGAGATCGTTTTGCTTTGAATCACTAAACATTTATGTCAGTCGTTACTAGTATTTGAAGTGTTTAAAGTTAAACATAAATATCTTATTCTACTTTATATTATAAAGTAAAAATTCTTCAAAATTAAAAGAATGTTTAAATAAGTAAAAATTTTACAAAAATAAAAAAATATTGTAAATAAACGTATCTACAATATGTTCAAATAAGCCTTCATTAGCAGCAGAATAATAACCCAAACTGTCACTAAAGAATTATAAAAGTCTGACGGATCTGGGTTCAAGGCACGATGTACTTATGCAGGCGGTTAGGGTTCAAATCCTACACGAAGTTTTTACTTTTTTAAAAATTTGAAATTATGCAGATATTATATCGTTTTGCTTTAAATCATAAAACATTTATTTCAGTCTTTATTAGAAGTGTTTATAGTAAAACATTAAAATCTTATTGAAAAAACAATGTCGTACTTTCGAAAATAAAGTAAACATTCTTCAAACATAAAAGAACGTTCTAAATAAATGTATGTACTTACAAAAAATGTTTAAATAAGCAGAAATTCTATAAAAATATTCTAAATAAACGTATTTTATTCTAATGAAATGTATTTACAAAATATGTTCAAATAAGCCTCCATTAGCAGCAGAACAATAACCCAATCTATTATAAAAGTTTCGTCTAACATTATTTAATGTTTCTGGACTGATACCTCTCATTGAATCAGAGATATTTTCTCTTAATTCTTGGAGAGAATTAGGCCCATCGTTTTCAATTCCATATAGTTTGGACTTGATATATACCCACACAAAAAAATCACAAGGTGCAAGATCAGGTGATCTTGCAGGCCAAAAAATATCTCCGTGTCCATTAATCAATCGATTAGGAAAAGTCGCACTGAGATATTCACTGACGATGCGAGAATTATGTGCAGGACAACCATCGTGTTGAAACCATATGGAATCGAAAGAAATTGGTAAATTGCGAAGGGCTGGGACAATTTGATTTTGCAGAAGTTCCAAGTATTTCCGCCCAGTCAAAATACCGTCTATAAAAAATGGACCAATGAGATGATTCCCTATTATGCCTCCCCAAACATTTACTTTTTGAGGACGCTGGGTACGAGCGACATAAATCTGACGAGGATTTCCTCGGGACCAATACTGAGCATTCATTGAATTGTGACGGCCATGCAATGAAAACGTACATTCATCGGTGAACAAGACGTTCTCTAAAAAATGTTCATCTTGATGTGACATTTCCATTGCAGTTTGGCAAAATTCTAAACGTCTATATTGATCCCCAGGGAATTGTTCGTTGGATTTATGAAGTTTATAGGGTCGGTATCCATGTCTTTCCAAAATTTTACCAACTCTAAATCTTGAAATTCCATATTGTTCTCCGAGACGAGATGTTGATTGGGTAGGATTTTGCTCAATACTTGCACAAATCAAAGTGTCCCTTAGTTCTAAATCTGGATTTATCTCCCTTCGTCTACGAACTCCTCTTGGAGCGAACACGGATCCATAAGTAAAAAAATTACGTATAATAGATTGAATTGTTGATCGTGATGGAGCGGGCCTATTTGGAAACATATTTACAAATTGTTGTCTAATCATGTTGTCTGAGAATCCATTCACATGCCAGACAACAATTTGCACTTTTTCCTCGACCGTTAAAACAATTTTCACGAATTGTTTTTTCAATAAAAAGTTTCTGTTTACCGTGCAAAAACACTTCTCGATATGTTATTATTTGATGGCATAAAAAGGCTTCGCTTCGCGCGCATCCATTCCAATGTTGTCAATTGTTTTGAAAATCATTACCTGTACAGAGGAATTGATATTAATATTGAGAATTTAGTGATGGATTTGATATAAACAGTCTTCACCGGATTATTTTGCATTCACAACTGAAGACTGTATGAATTGAATTTAAATTATTTTGTATTTCCGTTTTATAACATTGGAATAAAAATAAATTGTAAATAATGAGTTTTTCGAAAATTTGTTACCTAATATGTATTATATTTTCTATTATTTTTTTTTATTGATAAAACAAAAATTTTATCCTTGGTCTGAATTGAACCCCAATTTTCTCGTCAATAGACAACGTCCCTAACCACTACACCAATTTCACATACATTAATTGTTTTCGGACAAAACATAACTACCTTTATTTTAGTCAAATATTTCAGTTGAGTTATTTTTGCTATTAAATAAAATTGCAGAAATTATTAAAATAAAATATTTTTGAGGTTATCCGTATAATTATGACTGAAGTCAAATAGCCACGTCTAACGTCTAAAGGTGTGAGACTGTCGATGGTGGTAATGCAATGTAATGTAAATTATAGGTTTCTATCGATTATTTTCCACCTCTACGAGTTTTATCTCTTTTTATTTCACAAGGTAACTGTGTTTTCTATATCTTACGTTAAAAAGCCGGATGGTAAAGCACTCATTACTGTAAATATATATATATATATATATATATATATATATATATATATATATATATATATATATATATATATATATATATATTCTTGGAAAGGGCTTAAGTAACTAGGTGAGTATTAATACATATTATGGATATTTTGAGTTTAAAACTATTTAAAATTCAACTGTTTTTATAAAAATATGGTCATAAAAACTTTGAGAAAATCATGTACTAATAATATCTGTATACTACAAATTATGTGATCAGTTGATGCTTTTAATATTTGTGGATATACAAAGATGTTCAAATTGAATGTTTCTTAACCCAACTTTTTAACAGTAAAATAGCTAAATTGGTGCTTCCAGTATACGGAAAGCTTCTGAACAATATGAAATTTCAGCTGCAACCGTAAGCAGAAAACTACTTGGACAACATTCTTCGAAGGTTGGGTGACCAACCAACCTTCAAAATAGCAAGCCAATGGGGGTATCCTCTGACAAATCCTAAACTTCGCCTCATTATTAAAATTTATCATTATAATAAAGGTGTCAATGAAAGACGGTTTTCGAACAATATGCCTGGATAGAATAGGGTTCGAGGATTCTTGTCGAAGCATCAAGCCACACTCTTAGAACATTAAAATCATTACAAGACGTGGATGCAAATATCCAGATCGAATTATAGATCATTCTAAAGCAGATGTATCAGTCATGTTCTGTGGAGCCGTTTCGCGAGTTTTTTTTGCCACCTTATGTTTGTTACAAAGCGGAACCTCTGTACGATACTTGGACTCAAGGAAGACCTGCAGGAGCAAGATATAATCGATCAAAAAATGGCTGGTTTATTGGTCCAATATTTAAAGACTGGTTATATAGTCTTGCATTAAAATATTTCAAAAAAACTGTCAAAGGACTTACCGGAAGTAGTTATTATATTATAGTGCTCAAAAAGAAAATAAATGTGAAACCAGGAAAAAATTTCGGTTTAGAAGACTTTGAAGAAAGGCTTAATCAACTTCGTTCAACTTCTGGCACTTCTTCGCTGTCAAAAAATAAAGACAGAAAAGCCGTAACACCTGATTCTAAAAGAGGAGTTAAGCGATAAATAGTATTCTCTTCATGATGAAAGTGACAACTTCTGTTTATCATTTGACTCCCTTGAAGACGATCAGGAAATATCATGAATAATAATTCTCAATCAAGTGCTCCTAAAATTAAAAGATGTAAAAAAGTAATGACTTTGTTTTGGTCAAATTGACTTACGAAAAAAAGAAAGGTAAGGAGATTATCAAAACATTTATGGCGAAAATAATATAAGTTGTTATTAGTTCTGCACAAGTAAAGTTCATGAGAAAATCAGATCCAATTAGTAATACTTATGTTTTTCCTGAAATAGAAGACATTTATTTCATTTAATTCTAAAAAATTGTGTGTTCGTTATCTACATCATTAAGTAAGCGAGGACGTTATCGTTTTGCTCTTGAAGCAGACTGTTAAATTGTATAAATAAAAATGTGCCTATCGTCTTGAGGTATCTACAAGAAAAGTAATTTTAATTTTATAATTTTTTCAAGTTTATTTTTTTGAATAAAAAATTAAAAATTATTGTAGTATTTTTCATAGCCTTATATATATATATTTTAACCTATTCAATGCACTTCAAAGGCAAGTGTTAATGAAATTCGTGTTCCAAGAAACCTCTCGCATTTTTATCTTAAATTATTTTCAGTTCTTAATTACTGTTACCAGATACCCACATCGTGGGGTAACTTTAAACAACCAATGAAAAATTAAAATCATATAAGTATATATATATTTATATATATATATATATATATATATATATATATATATATATATATTTAAAATATAAAAATTTTAACTCATTTTATATTTGAATGTAATCTTTAGATACACACCGAACTTCTGGTAGCACAAGAATGAAAAAAAATTCAACAGTTCGGATAATACAACTGTTTGAATTTTGAAACTAATTCAAGTTACCCCATTTATATAAATATAAATATATACATATATATATATATATATATATATATATATATATATATATATATATATATATATATATTATATACATATTTACAGTTTTCTAAATATTATTGTCGACAGTTAACAATTTTCAGTTTACCACCTTGTACACGCTTTGCTGTTAATTTTTGCTCACCCTTTATTTTTCTAGTATTTAACTTAACTCGCGGTTATTTTAAAAATGTAAGTTAAGTTGGATAGGTACCATATTAGCAACAATAAATATTACATTTTTTTTACTGTTTCGATTGTTTGTCTTTTTTTGTTTTCGTAAAATTTGTTAAATATTATTCTACTCATTAACTTATTAATATTATTATTATAGATACTTATTATTGATTACACTTTAATCATTCTAAAGTATATATTAAAGGGTCAAAGATCTATATCTTTATTGAGTTAAAAATTATTTTTTATGGTAACAAAACTTACCTAAAAATGCAACGTTTTTAAATTTTGGTCGCGGAGGACAGTGCAAAGAAACTTTGGTAACGAATCCCAGTGTTCCTTCAGAACCTATAAAAAGGTGCTTAAGATGGTATCCAGTGTTGTCCTTTTTTAGAGTACTCATGCAATCAAGTACGTCGCCATTTGCTTTTACCTGCAAATTTAACTTTTTTTATATACCGCAAAATATCAGATTCTTGATAAGTTTTTTATTTAAAATTATTAGAGAAAATTGAATAGAACTAAGAAATGAAACTACATTAATGACAATAATACCTTAAGAGCTGTAAATTATTGTGGAGGCATACCACGTATCCCCCAAGAATCGAGACCAAGCAATTTTAAATAATTCCCTTAAAACTGCAATATCGTAGAACGAGTGTCATAATATAATAATATAATATTGGGAGTTTTTTTTCTAGAGGTCCAATTTTCGATAACTTTTTCCAACATTTGTGGCCCTATATCAGCAATAACACTGCGAATGTTATTATCTAAGTGGTCAATCGTTTCAGGCTTATCGACGTAGACTAGCGACTTCAGATATCACCACAGAAGAAAATAGTCTGTCGGTGTTAAATCGCATGACCTTGAAGGTCGGGTCCTAAACGTAAAACTGCTGTTACCAAACGTTTCTCTCAATAAATCAATTGTGGCACGAGCTGTGTAAAAAATTGCGCCCTCTTGTTGAAACCACAACTCCTGCACATAGTTGTTCAAAAGAGAAATAAGAACGTCAGTAATCATAGCCCTGTAGTAAATGATTTCACCAGTCCACAAATCACACCAAACAATTCGTTTTTCTGGATGAAATGGTGTCTCAACATACACTTGAGGATTATCTTCACTCAGAATATAGCAGTTTTATTTATTTATTGACATAACCATTAAATTAAAAGTGTGCATCATCGCTAAACAAAATTCGCGTATGAAAATCAGGATCAACGATAATCGCATTTTGGGCCTATTCACAGAATCTACGCCTTGCAAGGTGATCGTGTAGCTTAAATTCTTGCACCAGTTGGATTTTGTAATCACGCAAACCAAGATCTTTCCGCAAAATCTTCCATAAAGTGGATGGACACATATCCAACTTCTGTGCACGATGGCGGATAGACTGATTCGAGTCTTTCTCTGTGCTACGCTCTACATCAGCAACAACTTCTGTACGCACTGTACGACGTCGCTGTGGATTCGTATTATCATTTAGAGTACATGTGGTGCGAAAACGTTCCATGGTTAATCGAATTAATTGCTCTGATGGACGATTATGTTGACCATTATAGTACAATGACCGCTGGAATTCAAAGTCTGACAGTCTGACATTAATGTTATAATAATCTCTTATACCTATTTGTATTTGAAGTTTGAATAATATATTTTGAGTTGTAACTAAAATCTTTGCTAGTGCAAATAACAGTTTATTTTGAGCGTTCGTGTTTAAAAAAAAAAGTGTTTTCCATCAGCCTATTTATGCTAAAATATACCAAACCGCACCAAACATAAATCACTGGACAGCTGTTAAAATGGCCGCCAGTTAAAAAGGTGTTGCTAACTTAGATTTCTATACCTGTAAAGAAATACCCTTTAGAAGAATCGACAAGTACCACGTGTTAAAAATCGAGCAGGGAGACATGTAGCCCCTAAAGTATTAAATTTTATCCAATGTCATCGACCTAGAGTCACAACATAATTTAAATTTGGAATGGCGTAAGCCCATATATTAATGTCACAGCCACAACTTTATTGTTAGCTTTAACTACATAAGGTACTGAGGATGATCTGATTAGATCGAAAACGTTATGCTACTACATAAATTTTGACGACACTTTTTAATTGTTTCAACTATATGTGTTTATACCAAAATACAATTGTGAAGTGTTTTAACTTCTGTATATTTTTTTAAACGATGGTATACAGCCAACTACTGTGATTTTCCCTTTAATTTTTATTTTTAAGTAATTTTAAGCCCGAAATGGTACATGCTATTAACGAGCAGATTAAGATGTTTTGATTTTTATTGCTGTGATATAGGCGTGTGATTTGAAATTTTCGCCATTACCTCGTAAGTGGTTATTTAAATAAATTCCTTTTGCTGATAATTGTGTTGAGTTCATACATTTACAACCATATAGGTACATTACCTTTTTTTACTGCTTTAATTAATTAACGAGCTATTTTTATATTACCTACCTAAACATACGTTATAACATTTTTATATAAATCTCGTACTTACAACTTCCAGTCCTAATACATTTCCATGTAAATTCCCGAACCGCACCATCCTTAGACCGCCAGCATTGGTTGAAACATTTCCCCCAATCTGACAAGAACCCTTAGCGCCTATATCTAATGGCACAATTAAATTTTTTTCGGCTACATATTTGTCGATATTTTCTAGAATACATCCCGCCTGGCAGATTATTACACCTATAACACAAAATTAGAAATACCAAAGATAAGAATTAAGTTGAATACAGATACAAAACAGATATAATAAGATAAGTATACAAGTATATAAGTATATAAGTATATAACAGATATTATATTGCTGTAGCCTTTTACTCGTCAGTATTTTCCATTTTCTGTCAGATGTTCTTGCATGTTCTTGCGTAGCACATAGAAAAAGAAAACCTGAACAAAAAGAGAGAATATAAAAAACATATAAACAACAAACTAGAAAACATAATCAAACATGAAAACAAAAATGAGGAGTGGAAAGAGTGCAGGAACATCATAAAAGAAGCAACTGAAGAAGTACTAGGCATGAAAGGTAAACAAAGAAGAACAAGAGTGAAGCATTTTTAAATTCTTTGGTATATACTGAAATCACCCCGTATGTGTTAAAATACCGAATAGTTATTCCAATCCTATTTCCCTCGCCGAGTTTGATAATAAACACATTTTTAGAGTTTGTTTATATATCAAAGACGCATATTCTTTGATATTTTCTTTGATCGTTTTCCGCTTAATATTGCGTTTCAAATAAACCTCCATTTAGATCACTGAGAAAGTATTACGGGGAAGCGACTGATTTTTAAGAATTCTGTCACTCTCGCTGAGGTCGCTCTCAGGGGCAGTTGGCTTCAGTAGAGGTTGAAATTTTACGTCAATTACGTTTTTTACAATTCTTTTCATGGAAAATGTGTAGCAGTGTTAAGTTTAATGTGTAGTTACAGTTTTACGTGAGGTTTCAAAGATTGGTGATTGGGAGAAGACGTAGATGGGTGTCGGCGTCAAGAAGCGGGCAAATTTGTTGAAAATAGTAAAATATACTCAATGTAATGTGTCAGTTTTGAAAGAGTAATCACTGTTTCTAAATATTTAAGAGTTTTGTGTCGTCTACAACAACTTTGAAGGATTCAACATGTTCATAACATGTTGAAATTGTGTTCAGTTGTACCTATTTCAGTTTTTTTAGAAGCCTTGTCAAATTTTGGGTCTCAGTGAATAACTTCCAGCCTCATTTTTCGTTCCAGCCTCAATTTTCGCAGTTTGGAGATGGATTTGTTTGTGTGGCGGTGAATCTAACACCAGTTTCCACCTCCAGAAATGTTTGTAAGTCCAGTTCCTAACTTCAGAAATTTTAGTAAAACCCAACTTTTTTAGTTTTTTTTTAGATTTTTAGTAGTAAAAGTACATTTTTTCTAATAATAATTGCTTTCATACAGGTTAAGAAATTGTAATAATTAGTAGGCAAAATATTCGTTACAAGAGCAAACAACTGGTTTGACGAAAAATTTCAGTTTATAACAGAAAGAAAAAACTGAATGTTTACTGATGCAACAGGGGCACAGAACACGACAAACAGAGGGGAATATAGACAGCTACGTAAAGAAGAAGAGAAAATCCACCGAAGAAATAAGAAAGAAAATATGAACAAAGAACTTCAAGAACTACAAGAACTAAGTAGGTAAACAAAGGCGAAATTTTTACCAGAAACTGAATAAAAGGAGAAAATAATTCAAACCGGAAACAAGGATCTGTAAGGATAAGGGGGGTTATTAAAAGAATAGCAAAAAATATTAAGAAGATAAACAGAATATTTAAATTTTGAGGGAAATAGGAGGAAGGCGAACCCTAATATAACATTAGTCCAAGCAAACACCAGAGAAAAAATCCACTAACAATAGCCGAGACAAGATTAAACCAGCAGTAGGCAAATTAAATAACAATAAATCAACGGAATCAGATCAAATAATGTCCTGTAAAGGACTAAAGATATTCGTTGTCTAATATAACATTCTGTGAAAACCTTTCTATTAAATTGCCTTATTGGGTGTTTAAAAAAATGTTGTTTTTTGAATGTTGTAATAGTTTTTGAGTTTATTACTTTTTAGATCTGGGCCTATTATTGCTAGTAATCATGTGTTGAAGATATCCAGTATTACTGAATTTTTCAGTAATGACAACAAAACCACTATTAACTACTTAAACTATGAGAAAATGAATATATTTAGTTTTTTACGGGATAAACTCACTAGCACTTAAAAAAGAATAAAACATTAATTTAAATATTTTTTAAGTTCTTGAATAAATTTAATGATATATTGTTTAATTTTGAAATAACCCCGACTATTTCACTAGACTATTTTTAACTGATAAAACCTCATAGCAACGCCAAGTTTCCTACTGACAAAACTCCTTCCTGTCCGTGATTTCTTAGGTATCTGGTAATTCTATTGTTCTGAGTTTGACAAACGCTATTGATCCTTAATCAATTTTGGACAGATATAATGAATCCAGACGAAAAATCAAGATTTGGATGTCAGTCAGGTGAAGAAATCAAAAAATTGGTTTCGGAAAAATATCCCATTTAACAGGCAGAGGTCCAGAAGCTCTATTTAGACTCAATTTTTGAGTTTCTATAGATGAGAAATTTTACGCTTGGAAGATGCACTACATAATGGAACTAGCAAAAATTCTCGAGGATTATGGCTTTAACATGAAAAAAAGCAATGGCAAAGACTATAAAGAGTCGTCTGTAAACTCAATGTAAAATACTACAGCCAAAATGGTACAAGAAAAATATTTTACGGAGTACGGCATAAAAATCGACCCTTTCACAGATATATCTTTCAAATGTGCAAGATTGTCCAGAAATACCAAGCGGAGGCAGCTTCAAAGTGTTCAAGAAAAAAGAAAACCCCGATTAAGCACACAGTTTTTTCACCTTTGCTCATTTGAACTTGCTTGGAGAAGCAATGAGGCCGTAAACTGCACGATTTACTTTTTTTAGAAGGCATTTGATGTTATGGGAAAATTTACTAGCCTAATTATTGAATAGACCAGCGTTTTTTCCAAAACAAATCAAGGCGGTTCGAAGACTTTGGCAAGCAGCAAATGGCCGGTAAGAAATTTATCGAACGAAAATGTATGCCCAGTTAGATTGGTTTTGAAATTAATGAAAAAAAGGGGACCAAAAATTTTATCAGAAAGACTCTTTCTTACCGTTCACCTAAAGTGGAAGGATGGATCTTGGTTCAAAAACTGTTCACACTATCTAAGTGGACAAAACTGTTGAAAAATTCGAATAAACACAAAAAAACATAAACTAAACCATTATCATCGATCTTTAGCTGTGTCAGCCTTGTTTAAACAAGGTGTTTCTAAACAGGAGTTAATTAAATTAACGGGTTACTCAAATGCAATTCTCTCTAAAACAATATCTGCAGTTAGATTCCAGTCACCATTAGTTGATCGAAAATCTCAGAAAAACAAATAAAGCTGGACTTTCGAGTTCTCAAATGCTACAGGTCAATAATACACAAAACCATGCTTTGGTAGAAAAGAATGGGCAAACTACTATCTTCTTATAGCACCGTGCACCTATAGTGCGTTGGCGAATTATCTTAAGGTCAGACGTCTGTCTTTTGCGACATACAACAGATCGACAGTGTTATTTATGCCTGTCCAGTTCTTTATGTTCCGGAGCCACGACATATGTTTGAGACCTACTACCCTCTTACCTTCAATCTTTCCCTGGATGATTAGTTGTCAAATTGCGTATTTTTTTCCTCTCAGAATATGGCCGATGTCTTGATCAAATTGAGCAGTTCTCTCTCAGTATTTGCCTTTTTTAGGACTTCCCCGTTTCTCACTCTCTCTGTCCATGGTATGTGGAACATTCTTCGCAACGTCCACATTTCGAAGGCCTCGAACTTATTAATGGAAAGTACTCATAACGTCCATGTTTCCATGTCGTATAACAATATGGACCATACATATCATTTAACCATCCTGTAGCGGAGATTGAAGGAAATATTGCGGTTACATAGTAGCGGTTTAAATTTTATAAAAGCTTGTCTTGCTTGTTGGGTGCGGCATTTTATTTCTTGTTGAGGATCCCATTGGCCATTCATCATCATTCCCAAGTTTTTAAATGTTTTCACTTGATCGATTGGAGCATTATCTACTTACAATTGTATTCTTAAAAGTGCGTTTTTTATATTTTTCCTGAGGTGTTTATTTTATTTAACATTAACTGCATATCATGTTCGTTGTCTGTTATTATCGCGGTGTCGTCGGCGTAACGAATGATATTTATCGGGAACCCGTTTACCTTTATTCCACACTCAGAGCCTTTCAGTCTCTCTGCAAAAATGTTCTCCACATAGAGATTGAAGAGCATAGGAGACAAAATTCACCCCTGTCGCGCCCCTCTTAAAATTTCAAATTCTTCTGTGTTGGTGGATTTGTTCAGTCTCACTCATGCTTTTCGATTCCAATAGAGATTCTGGATAACTTTTATATCTTTCTCGTCAATGTTAGCGTTGTGTAGCATTTTTATCATTGGGTCATGTTTTACGGTGTCAAACGCTTTTTCATAATCGAGGAATGTTACGACTATATCCTTTCGTTGATCCATGCAGTTTTGTACAAGCGTATTCAAACAGAAACCTGCTTCACGTGTACCCAGTCCGCAAACTACTATAGCTTATAATAATTGTACATTTAATATTGTTAACACATTGATATAGATTACATAGGCCAACGATGAAAAAACTTTTTCACTAAAAATACCCTATTCTAATGTCTTTCAGGTCGCTGAATCCAAATATGATGCTTACAAAGCTGTATCACCCACAATTTCTTCACATTTTGTAGTAACATTTTTTTAATTAAGCGATTTCTACAGAATTTAACATATACTATAATAGTTTAAATATAATCAAAAAAGTTGAGGTAATGGACTTAAATTGTGTTGGTAGCACTGCTGAAACATACTAAAAGATCAAAAAAGGTAGATTCCATTTGAACGTTAACAGCTGATGTTTGTTTACTGTCAATCTAACCTCACTTTCACGGTTTTTGTACACGTGCTCAACACAATGTCTAACCGCGGTTGTAAAAACTCTGTTGACAGTTTTTGTTATATTTGTGGTGAGTTTGTGATTAAAAAACACCAAAGAAACATTACGGACTTTGTGAAAAAGGTTTATCGATCATACTTTGGAACTTTACTTGGCGATCAGGATAAATCTTGGGCGCCGCATAAGGTATGTTATGTATGTGTTGAAGATCTAAGAAAATGGTCAAAAAAGGAGAAAAAATCCTTCAAATTTGCAGTTCCTATGATATGGAGAGAGCAAAGAAATCATTCTGATGATTGTTACTTTTGTAGTGTTGATGTAACTGGTCACAACTCAAAAAATAAGAAGGTAATAAGCTACCCTAACCTTATGTCTGCCATCCGACCAGTGAAACACGGTCAAGATATGCCGGTCCCTGAACCTCCAGATTATTTGGATTCCATTCAAACTGAACCATCTTATGATGTAGAATCTGAGTTAGGTGAACAAGATGATGAAGAATGTCGATGTATTACAGAAAATGTAGAGCCTAAATTGTTTTCTCAGATTGAACTTAATGACTTGGTTAGGGATCTAGGCTTAACTAAAGAAAAAGCTGAATTGCTTGGCTCTAGACTAAAAGAAAAGAACTTGTTGGGTGCTGGAACCAGCATTTATGTGTATAGAAAGAGAGAGCAACAATTTTCAAAATTTTTTGAACAAGATGGTGATTTGGTGTACTGTACAGACATTCCAGGTCTGATGAATGAATTTGGTGTTGAGTACAAAAAGGAAGACTGGAGGCTGTTCATTGACTCATCCAAAAGAAGTTTAAAGGCTGTTTTATTACACAATGGAAACCAGTACGCATCTATACCTGTTGGTCATTCTGTACACATGAAAGAAAGCTATGAAAACCTAGAAATAGTGCTGAATAAAATAGGCTATTGTGATCATGGTTGGATGATATGTGGTGATTTAAAAGTAACATGTATGCTACTTGGTCAACAAGGTGGTTTTACCAAGTTTCCATGTTTCTTGTGTGAATGGGACAGTAGGGCTAGAGATCAACATTGGTGCAAAAAGAACTGGCCTGCTAGGGAATCTTTAAAACCAGGTGAAAAGAACATTCTTCGCAAAAACCTCGTAGATCCAAAAAAAGTGCTCCTACCACCTCTTCACATAAAGTTAGGCCTCATGAAACAGTTTGTGAAGGCTTTGCCTAAAGATGGGCCATGTTTTATGTATCTCTGCCTAAAGTTTCCACACCTCTCAGAAGCTAAACTGAAAGAAGGCGTCTTTGTCGGACCAGACATTAGAAAAATGATGTTAGACCTTAACTTTGAATCGACAATGACCTCAAATGAGAAAGAAGCATGGGTGTCATTCGAGCAAGTGGTTACCAAGTTCTTGGGGAATAAAAAAGATCCAGAATATGTTGCTATTGTTGCTAACATGTTAAAGAACTTTAAAAAGTTAGGATGTTTGATGAGCCTGAAAGTTCACTTCCTGAACAGTCATCTTGATTACTTCCCGGAAAACTTGGGCGATGTAAGTGAGGAGCAAGGAGAGCGTTTTCACCAGGACATTAAACTGATGGAAAAACGCTATCAGGGCCGCTGGAACACTAACATGATGGGGGACTACTGTTGGTCACTTCACAGAGAAGTTCAGCAGGCGACTCATCGTAGAAAAAGCTACACAAGAAGTTTCAAAGAAAAGAGGGAAAGAAAATACAAACCAATCCCAGATGACTAATGGAACCTGTATTATATCATATGTATAACTGTTTCAAGTAACCTATTGTAATAATATATTCATGATTATGATGTAACATAGTGTTTCATTAATTTCACCATATACCGTATTTATACTACATAAGAAACTACATAAAAATGTATACTACATAAAAACCCAAATTGCAGAAAAACTATGGGTGATACAAAAAAACTAAGGCCAGATTTGGATTCAGCACATAAAAATCAATAAAAATCAGCTATTAAAGTAAAAAAAGTTTTCACAAAAAAATTTTTCGTCGGCCTGTGTTATGTTTCATTGATATGGTGCATTAATAGTCTCGTGAAATAGTCTTGTCGAATATCATTCGAGAGAAAATTATTTACCGGCAAAATTTTCTTCTGGTTTTATTTAAGTTGGTTGTTTTTTGACAATTTTGAGAAAATCACTCGACTGACGTCTCGTGATTTAACTGTCAAAATTTATTTGGCGAAAATTGCCAGGTAACATACAACTTTCATACCAGTCAAAAATATTGCCGGCAAAATTTTCTCTATTATAATATTATGTACGATAAAAACAACAACAAAATACCTTGAAATACAGTAAAAAATAATTAAAGTTTTAATCAAACAATAACATGACCTTAAAATATGAACATTGATAGTAAATATCGTAATAATGTGATATTCTTACCTCACAAATTTACGAACAACAAATATAATAGCAATCGCACAGAATGAATGTTTATAACCAAAAGTACTTATTTATTCTTTAAGCAATTAAAAAAACAATATTTTCAACTTCTTATGCTTAGCTTTTTACACTACGAGGACAAAGATCCGCATATTCCAGTCAAATGTCATGTCTGTACTACTTTACGGATGTGAAACCTGGAAAGCGACAAAAACCCTTATAGACAAACTGCAGGTCTTTGTTTATAAATGTCTACGAAGAATTGTTCGTATTTTCTGGCCTAACATCATCAGAAACGAAGACTTACTACACCTGACCAAACAAAAGAGGGTAGTAAATGAAATAAAGTCCAGAAAGTGGGGTTGGATCGGTCACACACTCCGAAAAAATAACTCCAGTATTGCAAAGACTGCCCTAGAGTGGAATCCCCAAGGAAAACGAAAAAAAGGTCGCCCAGTACAAACTTGGAGAAGATCCATCATGGACGAGATAAGAAAACAAGGAAAGTCTTGGAATGAGGTGAAGGCCTTAGCGCAAAATAGAACCCGATGGCGAGTTTTCACTGAAGCTCTATGCTCCACTTAGGAGTTCAAGAACCTTATATATATATATATATATATATATATATATATATATATATATGCTTAGCTTAGGTAGTCCATTAATAAAAGTGTAGTAATACTAACGTTTACATATAAAGTTGCCATATTCCTAAGGTCAAGAAGAGAAATGTTAGAGCCATTCAATGAAAAGAACGAGCTGTACAGAATAGTAGTCTTCACATCAAACAGGCCAAAACAAAATATATTCATGAAAGTAAAAACGCAGAAATAAGGCAGCTACAAAATTTAACAATAGGAGAATATAATGAGGCGATAAAAAACTTTTATACTTAGGATCCCTAGTTACGTCTGATAACAGCGTTGCAGAGGAAGTGAAGAGGCGAATATTCATTGTCAATAAATGTTACCATGGCTGAATTAAGCAACTAAGATAAGGTCACAAGAAAAACAAAATGGCAAATATAGAAAACCTTAATAAGACCGGTACTCATATATCGAAACCTGAACACTGTGTTAAAGTGAGAAAATATTATTAGTCGTATTTGAAAGACAACTCTTACGATACATATACAACGGAACAAAAGGAAATGCAATTTGGCAAAGAAGATGCAACACTGAACCCCTCGTAACATTCATTGAAATAGGATAGTTGTATGTAAATAGGACATGTGTAAAGAATGGAAGAAAACGATATACCAAACAAAATAAGCAAATAAGTACCAGTAGGAAAAAGAACAAGGAGAAGACCGAAGCTGAGATACATAGAAAAAATAGAAAATGATATAACAAACTAAAAAATAAAACTAGGAGAAGAAAAGCACGAAACAGATCAGAATGGAGAAAAATCCTGGAACAGACCAAGACCCAAAAAGGACTGTTATACCAGTGATGATGAGGATGATTATTGAGGAGCTGGTATATGTAATTATCCAGTATATAAGTTTTTCTGATAATTTCATGAATATCGTACTGTTCTTATTCCTCAACATGTTTGTTTCTTGTTTGAATCCAATATTGTTATTAAATATCGGATAAATAATTAAAATGGTAAATTTTGGCAAGTTACGAACTAAGAATTAGTTGAATTAAATGTATTGAAATTTACATGGCTATTTTCTTTATTAAATGCCTTGTCACTAACTTTATAGTCATGTTCAGGCGTTCATATCTTGCATAAAAATCTAGTAATAATAATCCCAGTTCTATTTTGGTACTTACCCGAATTTTCATCCAAACTAATGATCTCATTCATCAGCTCAGTGGATACAACAACTTCATCAAAAACGGGATTGGATCCTCCTGCCATACCAGTATTGCCCGCATGTGGGCAAATCGCTATTCTATTTTCATTACAATATGACAAAATTTTGGAAACTTCTTCCGTCGTTTTCGGTTTAAGAACCACATTGCTCGTACCTAGTAAATATCCGGCCGATAAGTAGTTTCCGTATTTTAAATAAAACATAAAAATGGATGTTGAAAAAATTATAACACAAAAACAAAAGGACAGAAGAATGAAACAATTTAAAAAGATAGGAAGAATGTAACATTTAACAAAGATCCACAGAGTAGACCAAAAGTCTGGAAACGCTTAATTATATCTTAAATGTATGGTCCGAATTCTACAAAAACCGGGATACGCATATTCTGCAATATGGAGAATATGCGTAATATATTCACATTTGGTGCTTGAAATATTGCCAGATTTACAATTTTTCAGCTTTCATTAGTCAATTTGGTTTTTTCAATACAACGCTCTATATACCTATTTTAATACTGGAGACCTCACTTCAATACGAGTTTAAACATATGTAACACTTTGTATTATATTTGTAACGAAGGTCTTAAATAAATAAAACTTCTCAGTGTTAAATAGTTTTAAAGTAATTTAATGAATATAGAATGCTGTAATTTTAACTCTATACAATCCATTAACTGTACAAATGAAACATAACATATATATATATATATATATATATATATATATATATATAAGCGAGGTTCCTACAGCCTCTGCCGTTTCTCGCATTTCGACCGCCATCGTTTTCTGTCCATCCATTCGTCTTCTCTGATGGCTCTATCTCTCATTATGTGCCGTACATTTTCTTCCCAGTCAACTGAAGGCCTTCCCCTTCTTCTTCTTTGTTGTGGTATGTAATTTAAAGCTTTCTTTGGCCATCTATCTTCATTCATTCGTTTCACGTGACCATACCACACTAGTTGTCTCGTTTCAATTCTATCTACACTGGAATATACAGTATTTGTCCTCCTTCTAATATCTTCATTCCTGATGTGATCTTTTTTGGATATACCACACGCTCTCCTTAGAAAATCCATTTCTACTACTTCTATTCTTTTTCTATCCTTCTGCGTTATCTGCCAAACCTCTGCCCCATAAGTCATAATAGGCTCTACCAAGGTTCGATAGATTGTCAATTTCGTTTCTTGTCTAATATCTTTAGACCAAAGTAGAGAGTTTAGAATGTTTACCACTTTTTTTCCCTGCTGTGTTCTGTTTTCGATGTCTCTTTTGGTAGTGCCTTCTTTAGATATTATAGATCCGAGATATTTATATTCATTGCATGTTTTTGTGTTTCTAATTTCTAACTCTGGATCTTCTTCACCATCTCCTATTTTAAGATACTCTGTCTTTGCCATATTCATATTGAGGCCCCATTTTTCATATTCTTTCTTTAGTTTTCTAAACATGTAGTCCATGTCTTCCTCGTCATTCGCTACGACTACCTGATCATCTGCGAAAAATAAAGCTGTTAGACATTCACCACCGCCTATGTCTATTCCCATTCCGGATACTTGTTTTCTCCACTGCTCTAGCGATGATTGAATATATATTTTAAACAGGGTCGGAGACAGACAACATCCTTGTTTAAGCCCCTTGGTTATTGGAAATGATTCAGATATAAAGTTTCCTTCTTTAACGACACTTCTTGCATTTTTGTATATATTTGCGATAGCATCCATATACTCTCTACTGAGACCCACTTTCGTCAATGTATAAAATAGTTTTTTCAAAGGTACCGTATCATATGCCTTCTCTAAATCTACAAACAATAGGTGGGTAGATAGATTCCTTGCCTTCCGTTTTTCGATTACCTGCTGCAGAACGAATATATTATCAATGCACGATCTTCCTGCCCGAAATCCATTTTGTTCCTCTATGTCTTCATATTTTGATTCAATTCGTTTTTTTATTATTCGACCGTACAACCTCCCAACTGAGCTAGTAACAGTTATTCCTCTATAATTAGAGCAATTGCGTTTATCCCCTTTTTTGTATATTGAGCTGATGTATCCAACATTCCAATCATCAGGGATATTTTGTCCTTTTAAGCATTTATTAAATAGTTTAACCATCATCTCGTGTAATATTTTTGGTCCATACTTTACCAACTCAATTGGGATGTCTCCAGGTCCTGCTGCTTTACCGTTTTTCGATCTTTTGAGGGCATCGCTTAACTCTCCGGTTGTTATCTCAATTATTTGTGTATGTTCAGATATTTCTTCCATGAAACAAAACATAATATTTTTATATATACCTACCAAAAACAAAATAAAAAAATTAGTGATTCGTTAATTAATTCTGATTTAAACATGTTTAAAATGAGCGACCTGTACTAAAATTATTAATTAAAATTAAATACGTAATAAAAACATATCATTTCATAACTATAAACATATATAACACGGCAATTTAAAAAACAATGTCTATATATAGTCTCTCGTTCTATTTATAACTTTCTTAAAAAAGAACTCTACTTAGATCGGCAAAAAAAAGTGAAATGTACTCATATTACCTCAGATTGAGCTGTAAAACTAATCGACTGAACATTGATCTTCTGTGCAGCCAATTCCTGGATCCACGGGGAATTCCGTATTCACTTAAGGGGAAACGCGATTGACTCGAGACTAACTGGGACATACTTAAGATTATGTGTTAAACTTGGGACTAACGGAGGACCAACATAAGAATATGTTTAAGATTCACTATTGCACTATAATTCTCTTATTGGTCGCTTTCGCTAACGGCCAGGCCTCAAGGTCGATAGACGGTTCCAGCAATTGCCGGCTCAGGTGAGAAAATAGTTGCGGTTTTTTTTGTCAGGGACGGACAGGTATCGTTGAGTAGTGAGATTCTTCTTCTTCTTCTTTACGTGCCATCTTCTCTAAGAAGGTTGGCAACCATCATGGCAATTCGCACTTTCGACGCCGCTGCTCTAAAGAGGTCAGCAGAAGTGCAGTGAAACCAAGTTCTCAAATTATTCAACCAGGAGATGCGTCTTCTTCCGCGACTCCTTCTACCCTGTATTCTTCCTTGCATTATTAATTGCAACAAGTTATAACGCTCGCCCCTCATAACATGTCCCAGATATTGCAGTTTTCTGACTTTAACTGTATTTACTACCTCTTTATCTTTACCCACTCTTCTCAACACCTCGACATTTGTGACTCTATCTAGCAACTTATTCTTAATATCCTTCTGTAGGCCCATAACTCGAAGGCTTCCAATCTATCCGAAGCATATTCCTTTAAAGTCCAAGCCTCCAACCGATAAAATAATACGGAGAACACGTAGCATCTTAGAAGTCTTATCTTTAAAGAAATTGAAATATCCCTGCTGCAGAGTACTTTTTTCAGTTTGTTGAAAGAATTTCTTGCCTGTCCTATTCTTGCCTTAATCTCTTCTGTGTACTCATTATTTTCATTAATTATTGTACTTTTTGTACAATTATGATATTTATATTTTTGATATAATTTACTGTAATGTACTTTTGATATTTATATTTTTCAACTTTTTTAATTTGTTCTCCATGTATTGTTATGCTTTCTTGGCGCTGTTGGGCTTTTGTAATTACCATAAATGTTGTCTCTTTTTGTGTTTAGGGACAGCCCGTTTTCTTCACTGACTTCTACCACTCTGTCAACCATTTGTTATAAATCCTCAAGACATTCCGCTAATAAAATAGTGTCGTCGGCAAAACGTATAATATTGATTATTCGGCCATTTACTTTTATTCCTATAGTTAGTTCTTCTAGTGCTTCCTGGATTATTTCCTCTAAATACAAATTAAACAAAGTAGGAGACAGGACACATCCCTGCCTGACGCCCCTCTAAATCTGTATTTAATTTGAAAAGACGTTGTTCTCTTTTACCACAGCGATCTGATGATAATAGACAGCGCTAATGATCCTGATGTCTCTCATATCTAAGTAGTGAGATTGGGAAACCGCAAAAAACCAATCTCCCACTGTCTGGGGTAAGGAAAAGGAATTGGAAGTTAAAGGTAGGTTCTGTAAGCTATTGGAGTATGGACGGGACATGAAGTTTTTTGTTTTTGGGCTTCCGGGATTTTACGTGACCACGAAAAGAACAGGAACTTTTTAGGGTGTCTTTTTGATGGGGGCCGTTTATGGTTCTGAGAGTAAAGTTCCTGTTGAGAGATTTTATTTTCTCGAAAATTGGGGTAACGTTTGCTGTATTATGGATTTTACGGGATGGGAAAGACCAACGGTTTCTGTAGACAATATGCAGAATTCTGCGCTCCGCAGTGATCAGCTTTTTCTTTTGTCGTTGAGTCGTTGAGAAGGTAATATAAGTTAGACTTATAGGTTCAAGTGGTGTAAAAATGAGACAGCCGAAATTTCGGTCAAAAATAAGACATCCTAAAGATTCGGCAAGTATCGGATTTCTAAAATAGCACATGCGGCTATGATATTTCTTAACGCGTTTAGTCTATCTTCACTCGGCAATCTAGCACGTCGTAAATAACAGGTGCAAAAACGAGACACCACCAAGTTTTAAAACGAGACACGAGCCAATTAAAAAACAAGACGGAGTTTTTATACCTTTAAGAATAATGATGAAGGCTTACGTTCCCAAAAAGTGCCCCTATGACAAAAAGGACATGGAAACAGCCCTAAAGCTAATAGAGAATGGCACTTTATCTCTTAGAAGTGCAGCTACACAGTTTAAAATTGACAAATCTGCTCTTTCGAGAACACGTACTCGTGTACTTGGTAAACAGTGAAGAAAAACTTCTTTAACCAAAGAAATTGAAAAAGACTTAAGTGATAAGATAAAAATTATGGCAAAACGGGAATTTGCTCTCAGTAAACTGGAGATACAAGCAATAGTTCAAATCTATATACATGAAAACCACCTTACTACCCAGTTTAAGGAAGAAAAGTCTGGCAAAGAGTGGTTTAAAAATGTTTGCAAGCACAATAGACTAAGTCAAAAAAAGCTTGAGCAACTGGAAAGATATAGAAGATTAGCTACAAGTGATCCATTCATCATCTTTGGCTTTTACGATCACCTTAATATTCGCATATCTGATTTGAAATTGCAAGACAAGCCCGGTCATATCTGGAATTTGGACGAGACCAGTTTTTCTTCC